ACACAATTTTACAATGGAAATAAGACGAGGTATACCCAGTGCTAACGTCAACTTCGGTCCTTTAATTGTTGTAAGAGTTGAGGCCTCGGCTTATTGCACATCACCCTTTTTTGTAATAAAATCCCTATAAAAATACTATTTTCTTATATAAATTAATTATTTTTATAATTCTTTAACTATTTAAAGAATTGATTTGAAAATTATATATATAAGAGATAATTATATGAAGAATATTCAGTTTAAATTGTTCTTTGAAATTATGAAAATTGATAAAGTTATAGATTTTTAAAATTGAAAATTTTCAAATTTTATAATATATAACACTTTTTTTTTTATAAAAAAACCACTTTTTTCAAGTTTTTTAACAATTTCAATTTTAAGAATCTATAATTTTATCAAAAAAAATAGCTAAAAATATTTCATTTATTTTTTTAAATCATTTCAATGATTCTTAATTTTAGATATTATTTTTATAAACTTAATTCATAAATTGATTGAATTAATATATAGTTTAAAAATTGAAGAAATAAGGGTTTTTGATGTGTTTTCGCTTAGTGTGCGATAAGACGGGGCCTAAACTCTTACAAATCTACCATTCAATTTCTTTATACAATAACAATAATAAATGACGCTCCGCTAGCCCCCTGGGAGCCACTGCCGTGGAGGCCGACTAATTAGCTAGAGAATATTCCACTGTAAAAATCTTCGAGCGCAGCGAGCTATGGGGGTTTGGGGGCTTGCCCCCATATTGAAGCCTGTCAAATCTATAAATACCTATCATGATTGAACCACTTGCCGATTTGCACGAATACCCTTCCATTGTCTAGAATCGAACTTTACCAAAGCTCGTTCTCGTACATCTACTTCCCCTCCATTCCAACCTTCACATTCCTTTGCATCTAAGATCCGATATTGACATTCTGTCCTTACTCCTATTCAATTCATGAGGATTCGTAAATATAATTCGTCGTGCTAAGTTTTCCTTATTATCCTGTCGATCATCTAAGTGAGGCTTGCAGTGTTTCTTTACCGAGGCTATGACTTTCTAGCCTGGTAAGACTTGGATCTTCATAATGAGGCTGATACATTGTATCTAGTAACAAGCAGCTAGAAAGTCTAAATCGATATCGAAAGTTTATATCAGATACTCGATGGAAATTGGTACCTACTCCATACATATACATATACTTCGTACGTATTCACGAGAACATTCCAACTTCAAAGCTCGCGTATCGTTCCTTCACTCGATCTTTCATCTCTTTCCCCACCAATCAAATCTACTAAACGCCAATCCAATTATTGCAACAAGGAAAGAGGAACCACTTTTCACCACAATAGCTGAAAGCTTCTTCGTCAAATCCTGCTTAAAAAATGATCGACGTCCCCGAAGCAGGTTTTCATTAGCCATTTGGAGAAATGAAGGTGCTTGTCTTTCAAAAGGGTTAGTTATAACCGTACGGTGCTTCCGTAGAATGATCCACTCTCGAGATTTGACTGATATCGAAGCTCGACGAAATGGTATAGATGTATGAAGTATGAGGTTTTCTTGAAGATCTGCAAGAACCGTGATGTATCATGTACATAGTATGTTTTCCCAAAGAGTAACTCGGGTATGAGAAACTATTCAGAAAACTTGCCTCTTGAAAAGAAGGGTATTGTTCGGTCAAAATGATAGGCGTTCAATAGATCCAAGTACAATAATTTCTCTATCGCGTAACCTTTCCATTTTTGTCTAACAAACGGGGGGATTTTTGATGAGTTGCTGGGCAGTGTGCCGCTTGGAATCTTTGCTTCTATAAACATCATCATCCCGCATTGGATCTTCTTCATACCCTTCTTAAATATATCATCCAGGACCTGTCTTTCGACGAGTATGTGGAATCACTTATCAAAATCAACTTGATTCATTGATTCACCACTTTGCTTCCATGTCAGAAAAATCTCTACTACCAATCTACTCCTACAATCCGAGTCAATCTATATCTCCTTGCCATCCTCCTTTCTCCTTTTGGCCTCACCCTCACTTCTACTTTCTGGATACTATGAGTTTGACAGATTTTCTCGATCTTCTCATAGCTCGATTTGAAGATGTCCTTGACAGTTAAGCATCTCAACAATGACGCGTCATTCCTCCTAAACTTCTCGCCCATCTCCCCCTTTCCACCATCTCCAGGCGGACCCGGACGACAGGAAAACTCCTTTACTATCCTCCTCGATCCATGGATATCCGGTCCTTCTAAAATCTTCCACCACAAATTCTCAATATCTCATCTCAATTCACCCTCATGCATATCTTCTCTCACCGAACTCCCAGAACCAGATCTGGTAATAGTAAGTCAAGATAAAACCGATCATTGCCACCAAGAAACCCTCAAACAACTCTCTCCAGATGGAAGCAAGACATTAATCCTCGCCGAACCCGGCGCCGCAAAGACGATAAAACGGTGGAAATATTTCTCTCCCTCGAAAGTTATCCCTCTTAAACGCTGGGAAGATGCTCGTCTGCGTCGCCCTGACAGTATCCTTCGATTTCCCGTGCCTCCTCTATCTCACAACGGGGTCGCAGGCGAAGTGACTATTGCTTTTCTCCCTCAAAAGAACGATCTTACAGGGCTGCATAATGCAATTGGGATAACATATCGACCACCCACCCTCTCAAAATCCTTCTCCCACCCGGAAGGAAACGCATACGCTACTCCACCCTCCTCACCCCATTCTATCACCTCTACCCTCTCTAACCCCACCGATCGCGCTCTCTCTGTTATCTTCTCTCCGCACGGCTGTACATACAACACGCTCGCTCCCTACGCCTCCTCGCATCTCGTCTCCGAAGCGGCTCTCCCTCTCACATCTCTCCTCCACCCCTTCGATCGCATCTCCAACCCTTGGTACCTGGGCGGAAATATCATATCTGGTTTCCCCGGCGGAGTATCGATTGCGCAAAATCTCTTCGCCAAAACGTGGATTTCCGCCCACGATGGCGATAAGACGAGCACCGGGATGGCAACGTGGAGTCTGAGGAGTGAGAAGTGGGAGAAGGAAGATGTGGAGAGTGTGGTGTCGCCGAGGAGTAAGAAGTTTAGTGAGAGGAAGGGGTTGGGCACAGAGGTTTTAGTGTTGGGAAGTGGAGAGGCGGTGAGGTTGGTGCATGGGGGTGATGTTTTTGGGATGGGAGTGAGGATTGAGAGGGTGGATGGGGAGGGTGGTGGGGAGGGTAATGGTGATGAGAGGATAGAGGAAATTAGGACGAAAGATATTGAGGAAGTGTGCTGATTGAATTTGGGTTGTGATTAATCACGGCGAGATGGATATACTAATGAATATCTCGGTTAAGGGATTTGGCATGGAAAGTTGGATTTGTATGGAAATACAACCGGGGAATATATTCACGATTGGGTTATAACAGTAAACCCTATAGTCATGCGATTGCTATGAGGTATTAGGATATACGGCGTTTTATTTCCTGACGTATACATTTATTGTATTTAATCATAGTTTCTTTTATACCATTGTTTGAGTTGAGTTAGGTTAGGCTAGTTTGGTCGACTTAGTATACCAGGTAGTCGCTGGCTGGCTGGTAAAGAGGTATTGAATAGGTACCCAGAGAATGAAATAAACGAGTAACATATCATATACTCACCTCATCTCATATCATGTTTTCGAGATTGAACCAATTGTGTAGGAATGATGTAATATACGTTAAGTAGCAAAGACACTAACTACCTAGGTACCTACCTATATCATAAACATCTATCGCACTTGATCAGATCAGATCAGATCAGATTAGTTCTTTTCCTGTATGATTCGTGTACTGTATACTGGGAAATAGGATGATATGATATGACATAGTACAGCTACATAGTTCCTTGAATTCGCAAAGGGGAGAAGGAAACTTCTTCTTCTGCATCCATTCATTCATTCATTCATTCAATCATCCATTCCCAAGGTCATATTAATCAATACCAAAATCGATTTGCTCTTTCTTTATTCTGAGAATCGTGATGGATAGCGTGCATGCAGACACACGCACACACACACACACATATATATATATAAACAGTTACTCATCTACATACCTACCCATCTATACCATCCTCCTCAACAGTAAAACCACCCACCCAAGTCTAGAGGTCCTCTCTCTCATATCTACACAACTCTAAATGTGTACGCAATCACCACCTTGATAGCTTGAAGCATTTCTTGAAGCATTTCTTGAAGCACAACTATCTCATGAACTTATATAGCTCTTATCATGGATTATGAATTTATGAGAGCCTACTTTCTAGAGGTAGGGTCTAGGGTCTAGAGTTTAGAGTCTCTCTACTATATCGTTTTTGAACCAGCATAAGTATTTGAATAGAAAAATGAATAGGTAAATAGGTAGATAGGTAGATAGATAAGTAAATAAATAGGTAGGTAGGTAGGTAGGTAAATAGATAAATAGATAGATAGATAGATAGGTAGGTAGGTAGATAAATATAATAAATAAGGTAGATAGATACTTATATATAGTACTCAAAGGAAAGGAATAGAATGAATAAATAAGAGATTGAGAAAATGAGTGATGAAGTATGTGATGGAGTGGTGGAGTAAGTAATGTAGTGATAGTTATATATAGGTAATTATCTCATCCCACAATCAGGATTCCTTATAATGCTAAAACCATAACACCCATCTCTATCCTAAAGATTTAGTTTAAACTTTGAAAAAAAAAGTGTTTGTTTATTTGTATCTCTATTTATATCGACTGACTACTAACTAACCTTCAACACGTAGGTCCCTAGAGTAAAGAAGTAATACCTAGGTACCTAGGGAATATATGGATGTATCGATATTTCTACATCTCTGCACCCTCTCTCCTTTCCTACCCCTGAAATACGCGATGTGGTATTATTGCGATGTTGTTGTGATTGAATCTTTTAGGTGTATTGACTACCTCACCTACCTACCTACCTAGTTATCTACATTTTAAACCCCAGAAGATTGGGTGGAAAAGTGCCATAAGGAAAGACTTAATTGTGTATAAGATTAACCTTATGATGTTTATCTGTGTAGGAAATACATCTGTATCAATCTGAATATTTCGAGGGTTTTTCTTTCGGTTTGGAAGATTAGAAGAGTCTCGATCCTTGAATTGCATTTGTATGATTCTTCCAAGTTCCGGAAGGGAAGGATGATGAATATGATTGATTACTCTTCGTAATAAATACACCTTCAGCCGACTGGAGAGTACATAATTGCAATAGAAATGAAAATATTAAACAAACTAATCAGAAAGATGGTGCACTTGCAGATTCGCGACCTTTACGTGAATATACACCAAGTTATATTCCTCTTCCATTTTCCTTTTTGCACCCTACGAAGCAATGTCCGTAACCCACTGATAAGACCTTCCCATCGATTTAAAAGTCGATGTATCCCCTCATCTACCTCTTTACCGCCTTCCCTTTCAACATCGATTCCCTCATCGCAGCTCTAGCACTCCTACTTCCGCCCAACTTCGGTCCTTTCATATACAATTCCTCCTCCGTCTTATCCTGAGCTCCTTTCTTCTTATCCTTTGCCGCTTTTTCAGACATTTGTTGTTGTCTCTGCAAAGATGCATGGGAACTAGCCTCTTCCCAACTCTTGCGGAATGATTCTTCGACCAATTCATCATTGGCCTGTCCTGCCGCGTTATTCGTTTCCTTACTTGAAGGTACGGGCTCATATATCTCGAGACGATTTTCATGAAGGATGGCATCCACGAGGGCATCGCGTTGGATATCATCGCTTCCTCTTCTTTTGCGACCACGCCAGGGTTTCCCATCGCGCCCAAGACGAGGCTTGGGGAGAGGTTGTGTAGATTCTTCGATGTCGATAATTTCTCCTGCTGCTTTTCTGCGAGCTAGTTCTGTTCGATATGCATTTCTTGCTCTTGATTCTTCTCCCAGATCTATCTCGAGAATTTGACCCATTGTAGTAGGTGCTCTCTGAGATTCTTTAGATTGAGTTGTAGAAGTCTCCTTCTTCAAAGTCCCTGCTTGAGGATTTGTAAATGGAGAATCAACGGATTGAGATGTATGTCCGAGTTTCGATTCTATATATGCCATCCTATACTATTAGTCACCGCACTTACACCCAAGTAGTTCTCTCTCGGGAAGAATACGAATTGTACTTACATATGTTTATCAACACCACTCCCCACTACTCCCATCTGCGGCGCAAATCGTCGCAATGAAAGTCCGCCTTCGGGTTGTGCTTCCTCTGCATCTTTATCTTCATATCTCACCAGCGTATCTCCATTTCCCTCATCGTCATTCCCATCTCGAATTTTAGATTCGGCTTTGAATTCCACCCCTCCAATTTTCTTTCGTTGTTTTCGCAGACGTAGAATTTCTGATATATTTAGGGACGTTTCTTCCATTCCATCTTCTTCATCTCCCTCCTCTTTTTTGATAGGAATTGAATTCGAAGCAATGAGTTCATCTAGACTTTGTTCTGTGGGTATAGCTGCTGCCGTTGGCGCGGGCGCGCTTGTGGAGATTTCGGTTTTTATCTCATCATTATCATCCTGATGTCGTTGTCTATAAATCTTGCGCTTTTTAGAAGGTCGAAATAATGGTATTGGGTCTGGATTTGAAATTGGTGTTGGCATGATTGGTGTTTGGGAGCCCAGCGATTTGGTGTATGTGAATATTGTAGTTGTAGTCGAGCAACTTAGACGTGAAGGAAGGGAAGATGAAGCTCGGATTGAAATGGATAAGATATTGATTGTGTTAGCGTCTACTGATAGGCTTTAGCCACATGGTCATGGTGCTAGGGTCCCTGTGCATTAGCAGATCACGTCCGAACCTCAGTTGAACAATACCTTATGTCTCTAATTCTTCAATAAGGTTGGATTGACTTTACTCGTCTCAATTCTTCCCAATTGATTCATATCTTGGTGTTGTATATTTCAAAAGGAAGATAAACACAAGAGCTGATATAAAGATTACATATCGTACAGCACCTAAAGTAGGTATGTGATACTGTATTTCTGTTGATAGCCAGGTGAACAAGGCTAGTGAGTGGTATATTGTGGGGTAAGCTCTCGAAGCACAACATCAATTGAAATTCCGTCAGCACTCCAAAGTCTTTGGAATTTTGAAGCTCCTCAACTTAATTCAAACTTCAATTGATCCCTATACGCCAAAATAGCAATGTCGCGAAACACAGCAGCTTCCGTCCTCCGAAGGGCTCTCCTTTATGGTATGCTATCCATCTGAACACCATATATGGAAGCTCCCTCATGGGTAGCTAACCTACGAACAAGTGCCATCATCTTCACCCAAGTTTTTAGAGAAATCCCGAGGACTAAAGGTTGATACTGTTGCGTATGACCTGGAGGATTCGGTGACATTGGGGAATAAGGAGATGGCAAGGAAAAATGTTGTGGATTTTCTAAAGGGTGAAAGACCGAAAGATGTAGGAGAGTATGTATCTTGTGTCTGATAAGTCTTTTTGTCCTCCAGACAGAGAAATACATATGCTGATTCTTCTGTCAACATAGACTAGCTGTACGAATCAATTCCGTTTCATCAGGACTCGCTCTACAAGATCTCACTCAAGTCCTTAAAAGTCAACACCTTGACACTCTCGTAGTACCTAAAGTGAATTCGGCTTCCGATCTCCACTTCATAAATGATATTCTTCGTCATACCCTTCCCTCTCGACATCCATCTACTCCATCGTCTTCTTCAAACCCAGTCAAGATACTCGCTCTCATAGAATCCGCACAATCTCTTATAAACCTCTCTTCAATCTGTCAAGCATCTCCCTACCTACATGGCCTAATATTCGCCGCTGAGGATTTTTCTTTGGATTTAAGCATTACACGAACACCTAGTCTTGACGAATTTCTATACGCGAGAAGTCACATAGCAACTTGTGCACGAGCATTTGATATCCCATCGACCATTGATTTAGTGTGTACATCATATAGGGGAAGTGAGGGACTAGCTCGTTTGGAAGAAGAATCTCTTCAGGGGAAGGGTTTAGGATTTAATGGAAAACAATGCATACATCCTTCCCAAGTAGATATTGTTCAGAAAGCATTTGCACCAGGACAGGAAGAAGTTGAGTGGAGTGTACGAGTTGTCATTGCAGATGAAAAGGCAGAGAAGAAGGGGAAAGGAGCTTGGACATTGGACAATAAAATGATTGATGCACCAGTTACAGGAAAGGCAAGAGAGGTAGTTAAGAGGGCAGAACTGTGTGGCTTTGATGTTAAAGCTGCGAGGGAAAAGTGGAAGGGCCAGGAACCCGAATGATAGTACAAGTAGTTCATGATCTCTGTTTGCCATTGGCTGATGACTTTTCATCGAAATCTTTCCAGCGAAAGACTTTCATTTTCGAATGCCTCAAGTCTATAGATGTACATTATTATGCAGAAAGGTATTATTTATTAGTAGATGGCTAAACTCGTCCCCACCCAACCTACATCAGCCATACCAAACCTGTCCTCTCCTAGCGATCACCACTTTCGGGGGTTGTCTCTCGGAGAATTTGTTTCCTGGTTTGTTGGCTAAGTCAAGATGTTAGATTACTTAGGAGAATTCCAACTCATTAGTTGGGGTAGTTGGGGAGGGGGTAAACGTGATGGCGTGAGTTCATCCCATGCAGCCATGAATTGCAATATCTTGTGCTCTTCATTAGCCAAAGCAACAACAGCGAGTCCAAATGGACGTCCATTGTTTTAGTGTAGCCTAAGGGAACAGTGCCTACAGGATGTCCTGCTGCGGCGGCAATGGTAGGTTTACGACCATCGATAGGTCCAACAATTACATCAAGACCAAACTGATGTATTGTCTTTTCAATTCCATTCGTCTTGGCTGCCTCGCGTATTAATGATACTCCTTCAACATACTTTTCCTGAGGCATTTTGTCTTCCAAGGCACTTTCCAACAGTTGCTGGCCTGGATGTTCTTCACAACAATCAGTTATATTGCAAACAGAATGGATCACAAATTCACTTACCCGCAGGCAGGGCAACCTTTGCGTTTAGCTTGTTAAATTTTACAATTTCGGCAATGCTATTCATTGAACTGCTAGGAAAGTTTTCCAAGAACTTTTCCCAGGCTTTCGCATAATCATGGTCTGTTTAAGATCAAAATACGAACATTGGCACGCAAAGGGGCTTTAAGTTACTCCATAGTTGATCGAGAGCATCATCACCATCGAATTGAAGCTCATCCACTGAATTCAGAGGGACACTTTCGTGCAACGTCGCTCCGTGTTCAACGAGATTTTTCTTGGTATATATGTAAGCTTCGCGTTGTTGGCTAATGAGCACAGAATCAGGGGTGTAAACAAAGTCGGAGAATTCTCAGAGTTTATCATCTACAAAGCCAACAGTTTGACCTTTCTAATTTGTGTGTAAAGTTGGAGTGATATGGTGTCAAGGACGACATCTACCAGGTATGCCAAGTCTCGTGCGGACTTTGCCATACCACCGATACTGTCCGTTAAGGCAGACCAAGAGGCTGTACCTTCGGTTGATGCACGACCCACGGTTACCTTTATACCGAATAGTGCTGCACGGCTCGCAGGTTGCGTGATCGATCCGTCTATCTCGGTTGCGATTGCTAATGGTGCAAAGCCGGCTACAACACTAGAAGCACTTCCCGATGATGATCCTACTAGAGCCTTCGGAGCACTTAGTTCAATCAGGTCTTTGTGTGAGAAAAGTTGTGCTCATACTAACGGTTTGCCCGAGTAGTTTTTCTCCCTTAGCAAGCCCCCCAACAATATACGGTGACTGTGTTTGTCCTCCTACCGCTGATCATCCTGTCGTTATCCCCAAACTTTTCCAGGCACTTATTTACCATGATTGCAATGTTCAGTAGCTACACGAATATAAAACAGTAAAGCGCCTACCGATAAATTTGCCTTTCCTATAATGGCCATACCCGCATTCGAATGCTAGGGGACATTTTAGCACGTCGTTCAACGCTTAGAGCCAGGACTTCACTTACGTGATCGACGATAGGAGCATTATGCTGGGTAACAGAACCAACCAAAGCATATGAGCCACAAGTAGTATCCATTCCCAGAGACACATCACTACAATGTGTTGTCCTAAGAATTGTTTAGATTGATCACTTAGCTATGGTTGGGTGACTTACCTTCATGGTAGCTGGAGTGCCATGGAGGGGACCTGACATACCCAGCAGCGCGCACTCATCATCAAGAGATTTTGCGATATCGAGTAGAATTTTCTTGGGTGCTGTGTTTATCATTGCATTCAATCTCAGGCCTCGATGATTGTGTCTCTCTATTTTGCTCAAGAAACAAATCTACAAGCTGGACCGAACTCACTTTGCCATTCTGAAGTAGTTCCCTCAAGCCATTGGCCGTAGCGGTAAGTACATCAAGATTAAGTGTGGAATCTGGTCGTGTCGTGAATATTTCCATGGTGAATGCATGAATTTTAGCCGGTGGTAAAGGGGAATGAAGTTAAGTTAGATCTTTATAGAACTGTTTACAACTAGAGTATTTGAAGAGTGTGGACTCTTGTAATGATGATTTTTAGATTTCTGCTAAGTCAGTCATCAATGTGCAAAGAGCGCCCGCCATGATTGAAAAGTATGCGTGTACTAATCTGATTTGTTGATCAAGGATTAAGCTTAGCATGTTGTTCCGTCCGAGTCACACACGCCATCCGGCTCTGGTGAGTGCAGAAACATGAACTCCATTTAGAGGGAGGTGCATCATACGTTTAGTAAAGCATAATATAGCATCATAGAACCTAGAATGTATTCGAAGAGATGACTCCCGAGTCTCGAGCACCATATATGTAGTAGTTTCGCAAATGGAAATCCTTTGTTAGGGGTAACAATACGCACTTCTACGATCTACCTTCAGAACATCTGTATTGTGCACCCGATTCACATAAATCTTTATATGCAGATATCGACGCCCGCGAGTCAAGAATGTCTTCTGTCAAAGAGGATTTATACAAACAATGAATTAAACAAAAATTAGATAAAATAATCAACTATGTATATAAAATCGCGGTACTAATAGTTATAAATATAGATCAATAAATAAATAAGTGTATATAAGAAGATATACTAGAATCGCGATACACAATATCGCAATCTCACACCCACTATATTAGCACGGTGTATATATCAACTACCCCCTAGCAAAAGATCCGAAACTCCAAAACTTCCCTCAAACCATATCCATCAATCTCTATCTCTATCTCCCTCTCGCTTCTCTCGCCCTCCTCCTTTCCTCCTCCGCCTCCGCAATCGCCTCATCAATCCTCCTCTCCTCCTCCTCCAACCTCGCTACCTCCTCAGCCGACATCCCCGGTTCACTTAGAAAAGGCGCCTGTAACGCCCCTTTATATACTTTCGGCGCGTCTAAATTCGTACGACTTCCCTTTCTATCCGCATTCATTCCTCCTGCCCCACTACTTGCGCCTGCGCCTATATGATCCGTAAACGGTTCCTGATCAAAGATACTCCTATCACCAATACGTTCGTGACTATTTTCTCGACCCAGACCTACGATATTATTTCCCGCTCCGCTGTTGATAGGAGACACGGGTCGAGAAATCCCGGAAGCGATACTCACGGCGCGACTTCCTATCGCTTCGCCTCGCAGCGCGTTGGCAGCTTGGCTGCGGCGCGGACTAATAGGTACAGGTGTGTTTGCTGTAAAGGCACTTCCGGGCGCGGGTAAATCTTGGTGGAGATCATCGTCGTGATCGAATGTTCCGCCGAGGATTCCGGCACCGCGAGAGGTGAGAGGAGTGTTTGTGTCGCTGCGATCGGTGAGAGCGAGCTTTTCGGCGATGAAGAGGGAGTTGGAGTCGTTGTTGTGTTTGAGGGAGGAGGAGAGGAGGAGATTCTCGGGAGTGCGGGAGGGGTTTTTGGGAGGATTTTTGCGGCGGCGGCGGAGGAGGAGGAGGAGGGCGAGGAGGAGGAGGAAGACGAAGGTTATGGCGCCGAGAGCGATGCCAATTTTGGCGCCTAGAGAGAGGCCGCTGGATTTCGAGGAGGCGGAGGGGGGGTGGGATGAGTCAGATGTGCTAGTTGCACTATTCGAGCCGTCAGTACCGGTTGGCGTTAATATAGGTGTCGTTACAGTCGAGGCATATGATGTCGAAATGGGTATATTGGGCGCAGTTGTTGATGCTGGGATTACTGTTCCTCCTGAAGGCAAAAAAATTGTCGTGCTTGCTGTGACGGAGAGTGGAGCCGTCGGAGGTGCAAAGTTTGTGACGGCTGCCGCAAACGAGCTTGCGAAAGCAGACAAAGATGATGATTCGGCTGCTACTAGTTCTGCTGTGTCTTCTCTTCTCAGATTAAGAGGTGAGGGGCTGCGTAATATCTGGAAGTATGGACTATAAGACTCGCAGAGGAAGCCCACAACAGTGTCGTTACCATTGCTGAAACACAGAAAGAAGGCTGAGTTTGGCTTTGTAAAGGTAGAGATGCCTGCACTAGTATTATAGAGATTGACTTCTAAATTCGCTGTTCCTGTTTGCTGGGCTGAGATTTGGCAAGAGGTGTCAATGTCTGGACAATTGTCTGCAATTTCGATTAGATCTGCCTTAGCAGAGACGGATATTCTCTTGCCAACTACTTACATGTGAGGGGTATAACATAATATATGTTGGCCGGTTCTGGTGTTTGAAAATTGGTAGTATAACACAACGCTAGAAATTTCGCATCTTGTGGTCCTTGAAATCCAACTTCGAAAAGGGGCTTATAGCTCTGATTCAAAGACACAGTGCGATTCTCTTCAAGAGACGGCCACGTAGTAGGATAATACCTTGAATCCCCTTTGACTTCATCACCAGCAGCTCGAGGAGTGTTAATTTGCGGTGACAACGACGAGCTCCTCTTGTCTCCATAGTTGTCCTGCCCAAATCTACTCCCATCCGTCTTCCCGTCGTGACCGCTAAACGCCATGCCCAGTAACCCGCACCAGACCACCAAGACCCTCCATCTCTGAATCGATATAATCATTTCCAGCTTTCTCACTTCCTATAATCCCATTCATATATCAACCCAACATTATCGCTTCTTATCAATTTAGTAATCTTCCAATATTCTGCGAACACTTGTCGCATTTGTCGTTTTCAAATTCAAATTCGAATCCAATATGTTCAAATAATCGTTCGCTCAAACAAAGGATTAATCAGACATACATACATGTACATAATTACCAAAAGAAGAGAAGAAGAAGAAGAACGGAAAAAAATCCTCAAGAAAGTCTATATGACTGGGGAATATACCAACACATTAATCAACACCCCCCCTATCCTACCCTTCCATACATACATAATCCATTGCACCAAAATCCTTCACTCTCAATCAATTGATCAATCAAACACCGTTGGGATTTTCGAACATCCACGCTCACATACATAGCATGGAGGCGCAGCGCGGGTGGGTATGTCGAGTGAGATGGAAGTGAGAAGTGAGTGAGAATGGGATTTGGCGTGGATAGGTTAGGTTAGGATAATTTCTACCCTGAAGCAACAGGATGCGCATGCACGTTTGCGGGCTATTTATTAGCGCCTTCACCATTGGTTCGGTTAGCCCGTGAAGGATGGGTAAGCTATGCGCCCGCTCCCTATTTCCCACCTCGCTCCCGCCAATGATGGGGCTCCATCTGCTGATTGGTATGTGCAGGTCGTACGCAAACTGTTTGTATGTCACTGTAGGTATGAGGGCATGGAAAGTGTGTGTGAGATTTGGGGGCTGAGAGGGAGGTGTGCGTATGAGCAGATTTGTATTTGGGGTGGGATGGGTAGATCTTGGTTCTTCTTGCACTTTTATTTAAACGCGGACCTGTCTTTTGACCGGGTCTGTGATTTGATATACCGATTTTGTGATGCGCGGAGGTGATGGGGATGGTGATTGTGATTCACAATCGATAATGCTAACCTTATATGCTACGCGCCTATTCCATTTTCTGTCTACCTAATCATTTCACGACATAACACGATGGAAACAAACGATGTGGTATCACTATCCACAATCCATAAGCCTCATCGTAATTCATTCGGTAAAGAATATGAAGATCTCACACTAATATTGAATTATTTACTCGTCATACTTATCACATCTAGGACCACCAGGAACTCGTTTTAAATTTGTGTCAGCAAGCGATTGCGGCCTTGAATGATTGACCCCTTGGGATGGGGAGGGGAAACATCGTAAATAGTTTTTAATCGGAATGATTGCAACCCAAGGAAATCCAATACTACCTCAGAGAGTTCAAAGTAGCTTGGCATTGAAGATGATGATACTATCGGATTACTAGATTGAAGAAAAGTAGATTGAGAAGTACCTTCCTTCCTTTCTTCCTTCCTTCCTTTTCTCATCAAGGTTAAGGTACAACCCTAGGGTAACATAGTTATTATAGATGTTTAAATGTAATCAATTTATATAATACATATGCCATCCTTTAATATCAAATTCAGATATCCAAATTATACTCCATTACATAATCATATATCTCTCTATATTGTCAGTCTAGTTTTATATTTGCATCCTAACATCTATAACAATTATAGCCAATCAAAAGAGTACACAGTCACTTACAACCATTTATAATCGATTTTATGAATTTACAAATATGAAAATAGTCTGGTTGAAGAATTATATGGCTAAATAATGGACTAAATTCAGTCTTGTTTGCTTTTGCGAATTTATGATGCCTAAGTATCTAGGTAGGAGAAATAGATTTGAACGAGTAATTAATACATATGGAATTACGATGGTAATAGAATTCGACCATGCATTGCCTTGGGGATTGGATACTTGAATAACAAAGTCTCTGTATTCCTGATCTCGAGTTCTCATCTAAACATTTTGTCTTTCATTCCGGGTCCACCGTTCGGGCCAACTTGATTGTGTAAAGGTGTGAAATTAAGCAACCTATTCGAGGAATAAACGTGGGATCGATGTCCATGAGTCTGTCTTCGGTACATCAGCTGTCTTTACAAAGCTCGAGAAGCTTGAAGAAATTGGTTGCTGTGGATTGTGATCACTCGCATGTCTCTGCGTACCACGCTTTAGCTTTGGTCAGATTCGCGACAGCTCCTATTACCCATCATAATTTCGAATGTAATGTTGCATTAGCAGCAGCAAATCGTTTGCAAATAAAGATAGCCAAGATGCCAAGAAAGAAGTATAGAAGATTGAACTTGCAAATCCACTGGCTCGGCCCAGGATGCGTGTTTCGTAGGTCGTATTGTGCACTTCCAGTAGCAAATTGTTTGCCGATGAAGCTTGTCGGGAAATAGAGAGGAAGAAAGTTTGAATACACTTGTGACTCCAGCTCCCAGAAGGTGTGGGCATAGGTCAAGGTAGTGCTCGAGCAGAAGGAAAATGATTGCCAGGAAAGTTTATCGACAGCAGTTTTACGTCGAGCAAGGGACGAGAATCCACAAACACCACTCAAAATACCTACATAAAGAAGATTGAAATTTCCTTGAAAGAATAATGTTCCATTGCAAATACTGAGAATAGGTACGATTTCTTACAAGCAACCGCCACTCATTATTGCCATCTAATATTTGTTGTTACCACAAGATATCTAGTGGCAAATGCCGTTAACACCCAGTCCAGATGATCCCCTAAAAAAAGACAACCAATGACCCTAGGCGACAAAATGATGTAGAGGTTGTAAGTAGGTACTCATCCTTGAAAGTTGAGCGAGGATATCCTGTTGCATAATATCAGTTGGTGTCTTAATAAAAGAATCAATCAGACTCGGGATGGTTTGACTTGAGCATCAAGTGGGAATTCTACCTGCGTGTTGCTCGATTGTATGAATTAAATAAACAGAAACTTTCAAAATCATCGCGAGAAGAAAACTCGGATAGAGCTAGCAATGGCGAACCATTGTGATAATAAAAATTCTCCAAAACTAAATCCGAAGCTGAGGAACCTCCAGTGTTTTATAAGGCAATGAAAAAAAAGTGAAGACAACAACAGAAGCGTGCAATGAAAAGTTGAATTATGATTGACATGGCGATGTCAAGAGTAGACAAACGTTCTTCTGAATGAGCTTACTAGGCAGCTTGGAAGTGATATAGGTCTAAATAAGTGTCCACGTAATCTTGAGAAGTTGAGAGAGTGTCGATTTAGGTGAAGATGATTAATTAAGATCACTGCTCCCAAAATGATACTGGCATTTGCGCAATGCATTGAGAGCCTGTCTAGAGTTATGGATACATCCCGGGTGGTGATGCTGCATTCGTAAATAGTAAATGGGGGCAAGATTGATGAACTTATCTAGCGAGTTTGATGTGAAGTTTGATGTGATAGACAATGCTGTCTTGAGGAAAACCCGAGGAAGGCGTTTGAGGTTTTGCGATTATCTCACTTGAGAGATTTGCAAAATCACAGACCATGATTGAAAAAAAAGATTGGTAGCGTGGGGGTACACATTATGTGTAGATTTGTAGAGCAGCCAATGCTGTGGTATCGAAACGCCGATTGTAATAGCGACTTCCTATTCGAGAGATATCTATCGCTTTCGATTCTCGAAGTGCGGCAGTTGTGAAAGAGATTCAGTCAAAAGATGACCTGATAACAATCTCCCGTGGAAATCGTGAGAGGTACTTCTAATTTCAAAGCTCCTGATGGTCTTGAGGAGGTTGGATTGACAGTGAACATGCTGCTTTACCTTAGACGCGTCAGATTATTGAGCTTCGCAATACAGAGTTCGTTTAGTCTTGGCTCGGAAATTGTATATTTTGACTCTCTGATACGGGATCAATGTAAATTCTAAACTTTCTAGTGGAAGGTGCGCGGGGCGGATCGAATTGTATCAGGAGAACAAGATTTCGCGTTCGACGTCTTGCCGCGTTTGGTATCTGCAAAGAATATCAGGATTCAGACCCTATCTGACTTGATAGTGATATTTGAACATTGGGGATGGACATCCAATTGCAAACGAAAGCCTACTTCCGTATCCGCTAGATAAGAACTGGGTCTTTGTTGAGTGACAGCATTTTGTATGCTATCATGCATGGTTGAAATGGCATTTGAAATGTGATGAGGAGATTCTGGTAAGCCCTCATCGGAGATTTTGATCTCAGCCACGTGCAGAAACATGGTTCAAGTAATCAGTAGGAATGCCGCTGATGAAAAGAGCTTTTGCTCTGTACTAGTTTGCGTGCAATGATAGCACACGGTACATTAGCAGTTTGGTGCATAGCTGACGCAGTCACATTTTTGATATTTTCCATCGACCTTCCAATTATTTCGCGATAGTCATCTCTTGAAGCTCACCTGAATCTTGCCCCTTAATTGCACGAGGTTTCAAATCCCATATCTTATTGTCAATAAAAACAATCAATACAAGTATCAATCTGCGAAGGTGGGAAACTATGTGTGGGGATAGTCCGGAAGATTACTAGGTACCAGGTACTTACAAATGTACGGAGTACCGACCGCTAAACCCCCATTCTAACAAATAGTATAGTGTGACGTGGAGAAAATCCTTGTAATATACGTTTGCATTATGAAGAGAGATTGAAGGTTAGAAAACTAAAATGCTCCGAAATGTGGGATGAACAATTACAGTATTCGCTTATTCTCCGAAAGTGGTACACACAATCATATCAATCACTACCACCAAAAAATCCCGGCTAAAGTCTACGCACATAATAATAGCAATGTCTAAACCTTGAACATGACTATCTTTATTTTCATTCGTGGCTTTTCATGTCCTACCGTCTAATTCATTATTATTATAATCTTGAAACAAATGACGGAAGTCCTATGGTCCAACTGTTTTCTGTTAAATATTCAATCCGCATTGTTAGGTGGAGGAATCTGTTGAGCAGCTCGAGGGCAGCTACCCAGATGTTTTGATTCCACCAATCGGCATCTTGACATGTTTTTTGTGATCTACATACATTTTATCATCCTTTTGGCATGCGATTGGGTTATACGTGAATTCTGTTCGGATTCTAGTACCTGCCAGTGCTGAAACATCCACATGGATTTTATCGCTTTTCATCCTCATCGAGCTTGCAAGTGGGAAAAATGACCTCGAATTAAGGCCGAATAATAGCACCGCTACTATTGTATACAAGACACACTATCATATTTTCTTCAATTGTATCTTTTCAATGTGTACACATTGTACAATAGCATCTAGAATCATCTTCGCTGCAAAGGTCTAGAGAAATTGGCATTGTGGGGAATCAAATATTAAGGTTCGTGGATATTTTAGCCAAGAAATGAGGGGATGGAGTCTTACGCGTCCCACCGAGTTTGGCAATAATAAAATCCGGGGAAATTTTAACTACCGGTCTCGAATGGACCAATTAATGATATTCTTTCTGAGCGTGGAAAAGGAAAGAGGGTCCGACATTTATATTGTTAAAGTCTCTAGGAGTGCTCACGAGATCAGTTCCGGAATAATTAATTCCTTCTGCCAAGCTCATTCGATCTAGCTAAACTTTTCGCACTTTTGAACCCACGCCTTTCTTCAGTGGACCTTGATGGTCTATTCAGCTGTGGATCACGCTCTCAATAGATGTTGCTTTGTTGTTCAAAGATTGGTCTAACATTCAACGAGAAAACTGACAATGTTACCTCGAGCCACAGTATCATCTACAGTAAATGCAAGTCTGTCAATCTAAATCTTCCGTTCCCATGCATCAAACTGGGACAAGAAGTAAATATCACATTACAGATTCTTCCATCACTAAAAATGATGACTGGGGGGGTCGGGGAGTTTGGAGTCAAGCTTTCTTCAAGTGGGTTTCCACAAGGTGTCAAGTAGGTGTATAAGAACGCCAAGTAGTCGCTTCCAAAGCCAAGAAGCCACACTGCTCATCAATACACTCTCATCTCTTGGCTTATCTTCAAAATGGCTAAGCTTTCTGTCTGTCTCCTGTTGGGAGTATTGTCCGCTTTAGCTTCGGCTCTTCCCGCTGCAGCACCAGTTCCAACGGCTGCTCCAGATCTTGATAAGCGAGCAACTACTTGCACCTTCTCCGGCTCGGGAGGAGCTTCATCGGCAAGCGTATCCAAGACCTCTTGTTCAACCATCGTTTTATCTGCACTGGCAGTCCCATCTGGCACGACTTTGGATCTGACAGGTCTTACTGAAGGAACTACAGTAAGGTTTTATTCAAAGAGCCCGAAGTTTGCACCATACTGACTTGACTGATCAATAGGTCATCTTTGAAGGTATCACCACCTTCGGCTATGAAGAATGGTCTGGTCCTTTGGTCTCTGTTTCGGGAACAAATATTACCGTAACTCAAACCACTGGTGCTTACCTCGATGGCGGTGGAGCTGCTTACTGGGATGGAAAAGGTTCCAACGGAGGAAAGACCAAACCCAAATTCTTTTACGCACACAACTTGATCTCCTCAAAGATTGAGAACCTTTATTTTTACAACCCACCCGTCCAAGTGATGAGTGTTAACGGCGCTAGCGATTTGACAATTGTCGGAGTTACCATCAATGCAACCGATGGTGATACTGATGATCTTGGTGCTAACACTGATGGTTTTGATATTGGATCCAGCACGAGCGTCAATATTACCGGTGCTCATGTATACAATCAAGATGATTGTGTTGCTATCAACTCCGGGACTGTAAGGCAGCACTTTGTTGATTTTTTGAGAAAGTTCTAATTCTTTTCTTCTAGGGCATTACTTTCTCAGGGGGTGTTTGTTCTGGTGGCCATGGTCTTTCAATTGGATCTGTCGGCGGTAGAGATGATAACATAGTTGAGACTGTCACGTTTGAAAGCTCCAAAATCCAGAATTCGCAAAATGGTATTTCGTCCTCCATGCAAGATTAATGGCCAGTTTTTTAACACTCTCTAGGTATCCGTATCAAGACCATCTCTGGTGACACAGGAACCGTCTCTGGCATCACTTACTCAGGCATCACCCTTTCCGGCATTACCGACTACGGTATCACAGTCAATCAAGCTTATGATGGAACCTCCGGTAAGCCAACCAATGGCGTTGCCATTTCGAAATTCATTCTCGAAAATATTACCGGAACCGTTGAATCTACCGCCACCAATATTCTTATTGAGTGTGGAAGCGGTTCTTGCACCGATGTAAGTTATCTCCCTCTTAATCGATATCCTCGTGATGTGACAAATACAAGATTCTGATTTTGAGTAGTGGACATGGACCAATGTTTCCGTAAAGGGCGGCAAATCGTCATCTTGTCTTAACGTTCCAACAAGCGGCGGTGTCTCTTGTTCCTTGTAGACACTTTCAAGTAAGACTCGTGCACGGAATCTGAATATGACAACGTCACTCATTTATGGAAATGATGATTCATCATCACGTGTATCGAGGAGGAGGTTGATCAGACTTGTTATTTCCAATCTCACTGTTCTTCCACACCTGTATATATCACCCTTCGTCAGTACATATTTTCGGAGCTTTCCGATCTATTGCAATGTTGTATGGCTGTTCCTTCTTGGCATGTGTTTGTATTCGGGTCCTGCTTCACGTGATATAGATAAGCGTTTGCGTTTTGGTGTCACATGTTGTGTGTTACATTCTTCGTTTGATCGATAGATGACCCAAATGGGATATATGTCTCATTGCCATGAAGCGTGTAAGTATCAGTTGAAAGCATCATTATGCAATTTAAGGATCAAGCTCGTATTATGTTTATGAAGTTCTATACCGGAATCTGACTTCCATTCGATGGATTGAATTGGATCTTTCGATCATGGGGCCAAGTAAGTCGAACCAAGTCTCTCCCGCCTCTACGAATATACCTGTTCAATTTCTAGGACTGTACTCTGTAGGGCTGTGGAAGCTGGGAAGGATGGATTATCCTGGGACGAATCAATCATCGTGATGTAATACTCTCTTTGATTCATCAATGATGCGAACAGGGAAATAGACAAGACATACAAGACATATCTAATAATACACTGTTACATACAAACATCACTGTTACCTTGTTCCTCGACCATCTGGACACGTTGTGTGTTCACTCCTCCTCTCGAACTCCACCAATTAGCACAGGAGTGTTGAAAGCATGGAGGGTGTCAGCCGATTAAGCGCTTGGGTGTATCTAAAAGATAATGCAGGCACATGAATCCGGACCCTCATGATTATGCAAAGCGATAAGAGTTCCAGAGGTTGGTGATGTTGTATTGCATGAGAATGAGATAGATTATGGAGATAAGAGACTGAACTCGAGCTCCCCCGCGCGCATAGCTTTTGACCAACTCAGCCAACAAGGTGTCATCCGGTTTCATCCCCTATTCTGGATAACAAGCAATCAAATGAGAGCAAGGGAGAGCAGAGGAGAGAGGAGAGAGGAGACGGAGAGAGGAGACGGAGAGAGGAGACGGAGAGAGGAGACGGAGAGAGGAGAGGAGATGGGAAGGCTTAGTACCGTATGTATTTTACCAAGACCGAGTACATTTCCCCATTATTACTCCAGGTCCGGTGATGGCCGAGGGCAATCTAGGTCGGTCATACGCCATACACTCATCTACCTGGGGTCAATTGGATCAATGAGAAGGAAGAGATGGGATTGTGCCTTGTTTGAGCTGTTTATTTGTTTGTTTGTTTGTTATTGAACGTGGCTGGAGGCTGGAGCAATGCTGGCGGGTACATGATGTTCAGGCAAGTGAATGAGGTGGAAGCCATTGATAAGCAATGAAACATGTCCCATATATCTTACTTCTCTTCCTCTCTCTCTCTCTCCCTCTCTCTCCCTCCTTCTCCTTCATTCATCATTCCAAGAACTATCAAACATCAATAGCTATACAAATCCATTTTCACTGTCAATCACAATACCATCATTCAGATTTCCATTTACGACTTCTACCTAATTATAATCCAGCCTTCGTACATATTCCTCCTTTATCCTTCTAATCCGGATATCAACATCGGATATCAGCCTCATCCTTATCTGACTCACTCACCGAGCACATTCTCCTTTCATTCAACAGAACCTTTATATTTTGATTCAAAGGACTAATAAACCGACTTACAGCATTACACACAGTCTTACTGCTACTCACCACTTAATTGTGTTCTGATTCGCAGTTTCTGATCTTGGAACGTGTGACTCTATTTCCCCGTGCCGCAACTACTCGTTACAGTCATCCGGCCAAAGTCTGAATCATCTTATTCACGAATCTTCTACTTTATTCTTTAATAAAACTTTATTTCTCTTTTAATAAACTTGCCTCTACGAACATCCTACGAATCTTTTACACGGTGCCAGGTTCTTTGAAATCAAAGAGCAGAAACGACACAACACAGTACCCTACGGTACAATACGATAAGTACGTGAACGGAACGGAAAGGAAGACATTCATATATCTATTTTAAGGAACAACCAATACAAAGAAAGGTTTCTTTCTATCTCGGCCTCATCTGTTATTAAAGAAGCATCTCTCAATAAGCATTCCAATCTCACAACTTTGCGTCATACCAATCTATCAACCAAGAACAGAAAAGACGTACAACATGTCTGCCATTACATCTAACACTCCAACCTCTCCTATTCAACATCGAGACATTCGATCTGAGGCCCAAGCCTTCAAACGTGATAAAGATCACTCCCAGAAATGGGTTATGGGGGTTCGCCCACTAGCCGGCGTGAACAAGGCCTTCACAAGTCTGACTGATGGTCCTAGCGATGCATCTGCTAAGGGAAAGGAGAAGGTTAGACCTCAGAAGCTATGGAGTCAAGTGTATATTTGCTATCCTACCCCTACAAAATATGAGAACCCCAAACTAATCCCATGTTTCTCCAGTGGCAGCTCCGACCGACATTATCGTAACAGTTCCAACGCTCCTTTAAAACCATCCGGGTTTCCATTTTACAACCACGGTCTCACATCTTCTTCCCGTATCGCCCGCAAGATCGATGCCCATGTTGAGGCTGCAGATAAGACCTCCAACCCCCTCTCTAGATCTTTACTCGATCTTCTTCCTACACATTACAATAATACATCTCCATCCATCACTACCACAATCATGGATACCGGTGACGAGGGTGTTCTTTACTCTTTTGATAGAACAGACACGCCAAGTAACAGAGTGGACTTGGGTGGCTTGGTAGACCTTGCGGAGCAGAGATGGGTTAATGAGCAAACCGAGAAGATCGTCAGGGGTGAATATGAGGTTTTGGATGCAGAAGGAGAGACAGTTCTTCAAAGACAAAGAGGTAGAAAGAGTCCCAGATCAAAGGCTCTTTCTCGTACTCGTGAAGACTCGAAGACTAAGACTCATAAATCAGAACCACTTGAGGATGATGGATTTGAACTTATCTAGTCACGAATCTCGGCATGAGTCTGGCAGATAGTGATCTCTACTTGATTGTTATGGTTACTCCAGCATTGTATTCTCGTACAGTACAACTTGCATTGAGCCACAGGCTTTCGGAGTTAATTGTTATTTTTCCTTTCTTACATCTGGCAGTTGGCGCGCACACAAGCATAGGATACCGGCAGGCAGCTTACTTTGGAGTTTTTAATACACAGAGAAGGATAGCTAGCCTTTGATCTTTAGTTTCAGTTTCTGCACAGGCATTGATAGATTGGCCTGAGGTCTGATTTTTGTATCTTATTCGGGTGCATTGTGGTTATTGAGGTTTGCGTGGTGCATAGCATGGATAGCTTACCGGTCTAGAGATTGGGAGGATAGCTTGGTGCTTAGGTGATCCTTTCATCGGGGCTTTTTGACGAGTTTTTGGGTTGATGGCGTGTACAGCAGGAATGAATGGGACGGTTGATACATTGAGTAGTTCATCTCGATAGTGTTGATAAGGATCAGGTGTTATACGCGGAGATCGCAATATCATACCTATGACCCACCAGACTTTATTGGAAACTTCTTGCGCTATGCTACTGCGATTTCCTCAATCTATGGTTTGATGTGCTTATTCGCCCAGTGGAGATGGCTCATACCGAGCTAAGTTGGACAAATATGGCGATGTCGTCTGATTTGACTTTTGCAAAACTGTAGAATGTAGGAAGCGATATCTGCGATCAGGACTACAACATTTTCATCCACCTTGCTACACTACAGTGCACTTGCGAGTTTTGTAAATGTATCCTCAGTATATATTCTTCGGCATAATAGTGATCTAGCTATGGGGTCCATGAAGGGCGAGAGATTGTCGGAGTGTAGGTTCAGAATCATGGATACCATGTCACGTGAGTTGTTTTAAGGTCACGTGCGTACTTTAGCAACGTGAACGTGTCTTTTTCCCCCGTTCACTTGAACAAATTGATCGCCGAAGAGACAGAAAAAGAGAAATAAAACATGGAATTCCAGAAACGTCACAGCTTTTACCTACGAAAGTACACAGTTGAGATCTGAATGATACGACATTCTCTGACCAGCCGAATCACGAATATATATCAATATAGCCACCTCGAATTCGATAGTATTTAGGTCAAAAACAGTTCACTATAGTGTTCAATGGTTAAAGAGAGAAGGAGTGAGAGTACTAAAAGCATTTTGATATCTTGTACAGATATATACAGTTTATAGAACCATTCCTACTACTGTCCCTTCAGAGTCAAAGAGAAACGAAGACAACGATGCGAGCATGAAGCAATCAAGCAGAACCAAACTGCCCCTCGGTCTCGAAACCAGTGTAGTTGAAACCGGCATATACGGCGCCAATGTCGTCAGCGCCACCATACAGGTTGAGGTATAATAGTTAGGTCTGGTAATCGAGTAGGACGGCCGAGCTGTTCGCAGAAGAAAGCACCGAGTTGGCACGTGTGATGCCATCATCAAGCTGAGTGTAGACAGACTGGGTGACCCATTTCTTGGTAGAGGGGACGTCGGAGCCATCGGCACTGATAGTCGCATTAGCGAGCTGGGCTTGAGCTCGAGAGCGCTCCCTTGCTCAAAGTATTGGTCGTACTAAGTAGCAGTGACATTGGCGGCGTCGGTACCCAAATCGAGCACGATAGCATGGAGTGGTGTACCATCGACTTGACTGCCTGAGTAAGTAGTGCCGCAGGCAGCGAAGCCGGTGGAGGGCAGCCGGGCTAGGGCTGTGACGTCGGCGATCTTCATACTTGCAATGACTTCGAGGGAGCGGAAGAGAGGTGCAATGGAAAAGAACGTTGATGAGGACGGGAAAAGAGTGTCAATTCGTCGTTGTTATTCGGCGATGATGCTATCTCTATCTATGGGATGTGGCTGTCTCCTTGATTATATAAGTAGGTAGGCAGGTAATGTATCTCGCCGTCGAAGCTTCCGAGAATACATAGTGTTCTGGGCTCCATCACTTCTACCGTCGTGAGACTCTCATTCAGAATATTCGTTCTTTGTTGTCCCGTTCTGCTACATACCTGCTTATAGGAGGCGTTGAAGTCCTTCTTGTTGGTATACTATAGACTTGTTGTCAACATGTTGACACGATAGATGACAATTCATGTCACGTATACTGTAAAAGGGTATTGGAGTAGAGTACACATATAGATAGTACTATCATTAGAACCTTCTTTTTCATCATTTGTATCTCTATGTCGTGCGTCAATCTGATTATAGATCTGCTTGAACTGAAGCAGATACTGACTGATATACACAGCTGAATGCACAGACTTTACAATTCTCACACATCGTGATATTGATTTCTTAATTGTATTCCTGAAGAACCATCCGCCAGTATCGATCACCTCCAATCTGACAGGACGTACTGTATATTAACTTTGTGAAGTGAAATTCGAGATGAATGTTTGTTTCCCTACTTGTTCATTCATCTGTGATATGTATCGTAATCGAGAGGTCCTCAAATTGACAGTATATCTCCGCTAATTGTATTTTTATTTTACTTCAAAAGGCAGTTCTGCGTATTCTTATTTTTCAATGTTGATCAACTGATTTTGATGTCCCATACACACACACCATTCTTTTACCTCAGCCAATGAGAATTGCGAAACTTTCTGTCCCGAAGACAATCAAGGCCCAGACTAATCTGCTTTGAATATATTTAAATATAACGAAGTCTCTAACAATAAAACTGGCGTCGTGACGGAGTGGTTAACGTGATTGACTAGAAATCAATTCCTTTCGGGGGCGCATGTTCGAATCATGCCGACGTCGATATCTTTTGATTTGTTGGAGGATGCTGCTTCCCATTTGTTTTATCTCTCATAGAATTTTCGTATCCTCCATTAACGGGATTTTCTTATCGTCTTTTTGAGGTTGGGGAATTGTGGGGTTGTGAAGCATTTTCATGTGGAGTCGGTGACTGGAGTCACTTGGGATTGGCTAAGGAGGTATAATTTCTGTGGATATGTATGGAAATGTGTTTGGAGAACGTGTGGTGGAATCGTAACTTTTTACTTGTGTATTTTAGTGCCATGTAGGATTAATGGTATGTATAATGGTAGTGGATGTAGATATTGAGCTGTGTGGTATGTATTTAAAGCCACCGCTTGGATTTATATCGTGAACACCGTATAAATGAATGGTGGGCCCTCATGGAGAAAGCTCTCTAGTGTTTGTGTATTCAAGACACGGTTTCATTTCATATTAAGATGGTAGGAAAGAGTGACGTTTAGTCATCTCGGCAGCCCGCTAGAATTCAAAAGGAGAGTTGTTGAGTCACTTTTGAATGCTGTGGCTCAAGAAACACTAGGAATGGGGAAGGGTGGAAAGGAGGGGAGACACGTCCGACTTGGAATCATTAATAATAAATATCTCCTACAGCTTACAAGCAACCTCTTCATTCTTGAATAGTTTCCTCCAAGCCGGAGCTTGTATTAACTATCAATAGAGGATCAATTGGAGTCGATTTCACGCTAGATCTGTTTTCATTCTTAGGTTTATGGCACGAATTGGGTAAAACGATATAGGCTTTCCAAGGCACGGATTTAGGTGTCTAATTATATAAACGACAGATGAGATTATCTGTTTCCTATTATTTTCAAAATGATTATGAATGTCGATGTTCTCGAGATTCTATTTGGTAAACATCATTGCTCTTCATGAGCGTTAGAGTTATAAAGTTAATAAGTGATGTCGGTAAATCACGAATACCCCTTTTTCGGATCTAGGATGAAAATCAGCATCGCAATTTGATATCTTCCAGCATTTTCAGTCCTTCAATCCTCAGGAAAGCTTTTCCAGCCAGTCCATTACACAAAGGTCTTCGAACAAGAGGATATTCTTTCTTTGTGCCTTCACCTTATTCCGGTAAAGATGTCTTTATCTCTCCTGGATTACTTTTTCATTCAGCATCCCAAAACGTCAAACGGATTTTGGGCAAGGAAACAACAGTTCTTTATCACACCTTAGGAGAACATAGTATAATATTTAATATACACGGCCACCAAAGCATTGATGGCGGATTCGAAAAATTCCAACACATCTCAAAAGAAGTGGTAATCTTTTCGGAATACATAAGTTTGGTCTCGTATATACACCTCCCAATTGCAACACGATGAACGAAGAACAACTCGCTCGCGTCCTTAGACGTGATCCCGACATCAACGTCGCCAAACCCCCATACCAAAGACCTCTGTGGACCCAACCTCTCAAATGGGCTGATTATACTCCCCACACCTTGAAGCAAAAATCTGTATCACTTTTCAAAAGGATCCGTACAACCGAGCCCCTAAAATGGATCCCGGATGAACATCTCAGGAGCGCATGGCCACTCCTTCCCCAGCGACCCCCTGTATTTCCCGAGCTTCCTCCGAAAAAACACAGTCTTGAACAATTTGAGGTTTATGAAGCAAGGAAGAGGCAAAGGCAAGAGGCACGTAAAGCCCAAAGAGAGGCAGAACTTGCAAAAATGGTTCCTCCTCCAGCACCTAGGCCGGAAATTATGCCTCTATCTCCACAAGCTGTTCGCGCGCCTAGACCACAAAATCCACTTACGGAAGAGATACGCAAAAAAATGGCCGGGCCCTGGGGACTGGGAATTCAATTGGAAGGATAATCCACGCCAGGATGCAAATATGGCAATCAGAGACAGTGTTCTGGATGACATGTACGAGCCCCCGATTGTTAGAGCAATGCCCGGGCGAGTGCCTATAAACAAGAATTTGAATGTCAAGATACCATTCATGGATAGTGTCATCTTTTATCCGAGTAAAATACCCGCGAGCGGAGATTGCTTTTTCGGTTCAGGTGAGTTTGTGATATATTCCTTGTTATCGAGTATCGATCGAATCTCATGCTGACAATCTCAGTCTCAATGGCTTTGTATGGAACAACTCTATATTGGCACTATACGAAGTACTGTCACCTGTGGTTTTTTCGTTACGTGCTCACGCATCCTGCACATCCGCGATATGACTTCTACTGGCATTTAAATGCTTTTGGAGGCTCTAATGATGGAATGAATATGTGGCACCGATTGAATACTCCACATGTAAGTTAATGCTCGTGCAAACCGACCAATATGATATTGCGGTTGCTAACCATAATCCCACCAGGCCTGGCAATCAAGTCAGCTCTTCAATATCACAGCCGATATCTACAATCTCTTTGTAGTACTATACGAGGCACCCGATACGATCGATCTCTTTGGTCAATACAACGCGACGCACGTGTTTTTCCACATCATCAATCGGAATCATTATGAAAGTTTGACTGCCGAGGACAACGAGGTTCAATTTCCTTTTCCCGATGGCGTGATGGTTAGTCCCAGGCCTGGAAGAGCAAAGATACGACCTTTCGGTGGAGGCAGAAATATTGTGCCTCCACCCATTGCGCTGCCAGTCATCCCAATTTCGTCATTGATGGATATGACTCGAGTTCTTGGAATCAATACCGCCGAAGGGGCTCTAGATATTGAGCTAGTCAGAACCGCAATTAGAAGAGAAAGAAGGATAGCAAAGGAGCGAAATGATCCCACGGAGATCAAGTGGTGGGTGGAAGCAGAAGCCAAGGAAACGGAAGAGGAAAGGAAAGCAGAAGAAAGAAGGATTGCCGAGGCAGCAAGAGCAAGACCTCCAAAGAAGCCCACCAACGAGGAATTAGCAGCAAATCTCGGGAGAGTATTAAACAGGGGGAAGAAGCCCGAGCGGGGAGGGGCCGCAAAGAAAGATCCAAAGAAAGATCCAAAGAATCCCAAAAACAAGAAGGTTCCAAAAAAGATAGCTCATAATCTCGATAGCGATGATGAAGACAATGATCTTGACGAAGCCGCAAACTTGATCCCGCAAAATCAACAGACACGGGGAGGAACGAAACCGAAGAAGAGATTCACTGGTTACGGTCTTGATTACGATGATGGTGACGCCAGTGATCTTTACGATACAGCAGAACTAACAGGTAAAAAGTCGCCGAAGAGCAAACCGCAAAAAACTCTTGGAAATCCTGATCAAAAATCTCCTTCTAAGACGGCTAAAAAGCCGTGGAAAGCACCAAGGAGACCGCCGCCTAGGTGGTAAAGAGAAAGATCTTGGATATTAGGAGTACGAAGTTCCCGAAGAAATTTGTATTGAAATAGTATTGAAATAGTATTTGTATGAACACTGATCATTAGGATCTAGTGAATAGCTTCAATTCATTAGCTACTGTATTGCAGTCTTTAGCGAATGCGGGATACAGTAGCCTCAAGCGAAAGCAGAAGAGACTAGCTCCTCTTGTAGCGTCCATATAAGACCTACAACTTCCTGTACTTAGCTAGCTCTTTAGAGAGAATACAATATAGACATTTAGGACCTACGAATACCGTGGGTGCTACGTCTTCCGTATCCTTCTCGAACCAACAGTATTGATTGATGGACGCGCTTTGGCAAAGATGCTGGAGTTAGTATATATGGGCTTTATGGAGTAGAATCGTTCTTTCTGAATAGAAATTTTGGTTTACATAGTACTCAATCTTGTACCTAATTACATTTGTCTTGAGTCACTCTAAGAAGGGGTGTAATAACCCAATTCATTCGAAACGTGAGATTTGAAAGCTGTCTATGAGTTATACAATTATAAACGTGGTGTGTGGAGACGAAGACGCATTCGATAGAATCTTCGACGGAGAATCAAAGACTATATATTCTCTATACACTTGTATCAGATCGCGGGGATGAAGTATCGCTTCACCATTAAGTTTAGTTGATTTCAAATATCTCAAATTGAGATTCAAAGATGAAGCGAAACGTGATCCTGAAAATCGTTTGCAAATCAGTATTTGTTCCAATGTTTGCCAGTACAATTTCCATAAGCTCCCGCATACTAAAATTTCCATTGACAAGCCCCTTTTCCCTCTCTCTACCCTCTCAACAAATAACATAAAAGCGAAACAATATCACCCCCCGAAGCTCTCTCAACATTCTTTGTCCCAACATTATCAATTCCGGACTTGGAAGCCCCTTTATCCAACACCCATTACTCAAGCAAACAACCCCCAAGCAACAAAGACCGCTTTATCCCCAAAACCCAACCATATTTGAAGCACTCGACAACAAGCACTTGCAATGAATAATCCCCACCCCAACCTCTCTATTCCCCCACCCATCCACAAACACCCTCCAAAATGTCCAACAAATACGACGTCCACCACACATTCGACAGCCGAGGAGACTCCCAGCGCCCCATCACCAGCGCCGACATAAGCGACTACATCCCCCAGCAAGCGGGTCGCGAAAATGAAAACGCGCGCACCCCCTTCGACGTCCTCGAATGGCTCTCCGTCTTCTACGGCCAGAAAGTTCCTCCGCTGCCCGTGATACGCGCGCGGGATGTCGAGCAAGTTCCTGATCAGAAACTCCAGGAAACCATCGAGGAATATCAACTCTTTACCCCGACGGTGCGGGGCGTGAAGTTGAATCCCTTTACCGAGATTGGGATTGAGGGGTTTCCGTTGATTGAGGATACGATGTTTAATATTGTGCGCAGCTTTCCGGCAGATGAACAGTATCAGGGTCCGCACAATTTGATTTGGTTGGTGTCGAATTCGTATTGGAGAGCGGGTAATTATATATTCTACTTAACTTCTCTCTCCCATTCCCCCTCAAAAAAAATCAAAAACAAACAAAAACAAAAACAAGCGAGGATTCTAACACAACCCCAGTGGCCTGGGCCATATACGGCAACTGGGAACTCTGGCCCCAAGTCAAAGCCCAACACCGTTTGATGTTCGACCAAGTACTCGCCACCCCCAAACATCCCCGGCACGCACTCTACCAGAACCTCAACGACAAGCGCAAAAGCCACAACAACCTGAACATCAAAGAGCGACTCGGGATTCCCTACTGCGCCATCCGACACGACGACATCCAGCAGGTCACCGCCGACATATACGGCATCTTCCTCGTCATATTCACATGTCGCCCGGAGGGACAAGCAGCAAACATCCCCGGGTTCGACACCGACCAATCCCCCCGCCACTTTGCGCCGACCATCCGCGGGGAGTTCGGGCGTCCGCACAAATTCATCCGGCTCTCCATCGGCACCGTGCCCGAAAGATACAGAAACCATCCCGACGCGGGCCTGCTGCCACTGTGGCAGATGTACGAGCCCATGATGCTCAACATGCCTAATCTTCGACACTCGGATTTCAAATACATTCGTCCGACGTTTGCGAATACGCGAGGATCATTACCCGTGGCTGCGTCCATACGGCCGGCGAATTACGACGGGGTGAATCACCCGTGGAGGGCGGTGAATGTTCCCTGGAACAAACTGCATGCTGCTCAACAGGAGGGACTTCCAGATGCGCTTACACAGCCGGCGAATTGGCCCGCGACGTTTCCGCACAAAGCAATATCCCTCACGATTGCGATGGGATGTATACTTTTGGGAGCGGGAGATCCGAAGGATCCAAGGTCTTGGGTTCATGATTCGCGTAGGATTGTGTGGATAAGGCCGGACAAGGTAAAGGGAGTGCCAGGGACAAATATAGAAAGTCCAGAATTGTAATCGTTTGCAGAAGGGGGTATGATCTTCGCAATTCCTCGTAATTAGCAAGGAAATATTTGTAATATGAATATCAGCTCTACATTTAAGCAGAGGGGGAAACAACACACTAGGATCGTGACTTTGAGTTGACAATCGTATTATCATCAATCGAATAGTACCATTTGATCTAACAAATCCAACCCTTAACAAAAGAGAAGAAGAAAAAAGAAATTTTCCCTCTTCCGCTGAGATCATATGGTAGCAATACACCTCTAGTCAAGAAATAAAAAGATCCACTTGGATTATATACATGATTACAACCAAACAATTCACGAGGTACAATTGCGAAATACTATACGCTGATCAAATAATGAGACTGTTGTCACAAACCAAAAACGAACAAATCCAGACTTCAAATGATACATGTTCCGTATCACCCCTACACCCTTCACCCTTCACTCTTATCACCTACTCACTCATATTATCCCATTCCTCAAGTTCTCCTAGCCATTTACTCCAGGACCTCAGTAGTACCCACATACAATAGCACTTGCGAACATCTCTCTCTACATTTAGGTTCAGCCAAAATACAAGATGGGAAACCGGGCCTATTGCTGTCTTAATATATAATCTAATCATCAGTATCTTGTGTTTCACATCGATCAGAAATCCCCGGTATCATTTCGTAATGACCGCCATTCCTAATCATCGAACCAAAAGGAAATCTAAGCTGACATGTTCTTCCAACCCACGGTGCACAAATTGATATGAGAGCTGCGCGTTGCCACACACACGACTAGCTACAGCCCTATCGTACCTGGCTGCAAATATCCAGTGTTAGATCGTACAGCGGTCTTAATTTAATGGAATAGCTACGAAATTTAGCAGAAGATGAAGCGATTCAGGGGGGAGTTTGGAAAATGATGGGAAGGAAAACTTGGGTACGTAGTGGAGAGCACTTACAATTTATACTCGATTTTATATCATTAGAGTTCACTTGAACGTTATATAGCAGTACATGAAAAAAGAAAGGGGGGAATATTGAGAAAGAAAAAAATTGATTATGGGGGAGTTTCCGTTTTTGGGGAGGGTTGTTTCGTTTTGTTTCGTTTTGTTTTGTTTTTGGTGTTTCTGAAATGGATGAAAGTGAAAAATCCTAGGGCATCCCACAACAAATGAAATAATGAAATCTAAGTATTCTCATACTGTATTACAAATGAAAAATGGAAGATGTTACCTTTTTTAATACAACGGAATTGCGAGGGGGATTGTCAACGTCTTGTACAATGTTAGACGGCGCCTTTTATGGTAAGTTTCATGGGGGCATGATGACTTTCAGGGGCATCTTCCTCTTCTCCTTCTTTCTGTGGCTTCCCAAACTTTTCCTTGAATGAATCTAGCCAGTGAATCGTTTCCATGTGCCTTCTTAGATCCCTCTTAAGCCCTCTAAAGTCATGGCCACATAGCTTGCAAACAGTCTCCGGTTGATTTTTGATCTCATGGATGTGCATAATATGAGCTCTCAAGAAAGTGGGATGGGCGAATTTGGCATCACAACCTTCAACAGAGCATCTACAGCTGTATTCCGCGTGAATGGAATCCATGTGTACAACAAGACCAGCTTTGCTCGTAAAAGATTTTTCGCAAATTTTGCACGGGAATTCGCGAACGTGAGAATCAATGTGGCAGTTCAGGCTTTTCAGAGTACTTAGCTTGCGTTTACAACCAGGATGAGAACATGGAAAGGTTCCATGGTAATTCTTGACATGGGACTTGTAACTCTGCACATTGGCGTATGTGCGATCACACTCTTCACACTTGTTTCTGATCTCTCCATGAATCTGCTCCATGTGTTTGTTGAGACCAGTTTTCAGGGAGAAGTGCTCATCACACTTTGTACACGGATAGAATTGGCTTGCATGCTTAGCCATTCTATGAAGATTCAGAGAGTGCTTGTCTCGTAGATGCTTTCCACATGAAGCGCAAATACAAGTCAAGCCGCTGGCTTTTTGACTAGATTTCTGAATTCTGTTACTCATCTTGGCAAGGTGTATGTTTACTATGTAAGTCTTGATAACCGAGTAAGTATAGTACTACCGTTGTCTGAATGAGTGGATGTTCTTGCTACTGTATGAATTGAAAGTGAATTGATGGAATTACCTTGAAGGAACTCTGCAGTTTTTATGCATAGAAAAGTGTCCTGTTCAGATGTGAAATTGTTTGGTGAACAGTCGCAAGTACAAGCGCAGTACAATGCCATTGTGTTTTTGTAGAAGTATTTCCTTGTTCCATGTCGGCAAACAAAGACAGCATTAAAAATTGAACAATCCCTTTTCAGGATTTATGATTTAGCATCAAGATGACTGTGGCAAAATCCATTGGTTGAGGTTTACCTTCTGCATAAAGAGCATGACGATTGTACATTTCAGTATATAGTGTACAAGATGAGATCTTATGCTGCTTAATACCCTACATTCAACTAGTAAAATCCCGAGTAAACATTTGCAATGCTCGTCGTCATCTCCATTAATGTAAAACACATCATGTGACACTTGAAATATTTTCGGGACCACAACCCCAGATTGAGGGAACGAAACGAAGTGTTTCCGTCCGATCTGTAGATCAAACAGTGTGAGACATTGAGGGTTCATCCCACCTATTGAGGGGATTTTACTTTCCATGACTCCATGGATGGATGCAATTGAAGGCATGATGACACATGACGAGGTCGCATGCAGAATTTCCATGTTGATATTCATGCTAAAAGAGAAGCAAGTGATGCTACAGAGTAAATGAGTGCAACAGATGAAAGAAAAAGCAAATCGTCTCAGAAATTCATCTCAACTTAAGATGATTTGATAAATGCGCGCGAAAACTTCCGATACATCATCTGTTTGAGCAACCCACACGCTTTGTGCAACATGGTCTCAAGTTGGACGACCCCTCATTACGGCAATATTGTTTGATCTGAGGGATGAAGAGACGATATGAAAGGATTGGATGGTGGAGTTGAGAACCAAGAATGGAAAGTTTGAGAGGTGCGCAAAACGTTTCGAGCGTGTAGAAAAATAAAGAAAATGCATGGCGCTGCATGGATTTGAAGGACAGGAAAAATAAGTTTATTCGCCATTCTCATAATCCTCAATAAGAATAGTTTCTCCAAAATGGATTGATTAATGAGTATCAACCAAACTCCTTTTGTTTCGCGTGACGGATTTTGGTGGTCAACGAATTCAGGAAGAGGATTTTGGAGTAATTGGTGAGGGAGGGTATTTCAATTTCCACGGTTGGTTTGGAATCTCCACTCGATCGTTCTTCAACCATTAAGGAATCTTTAGGATGAATTCGAAAGGATCTTCAAGGCTGCAGCAGTGCATTCGGGGAGAGTTGATCCCTTGAGCATGGTAACATTTAATTGCTCCAAATTGATGGCATCTTGTCTCATCTCATCTCGTCTCATCTCATAAATATAGATTGTGGAAGAGGCTGAGATGAAGGTTGAAAGGTACCTAGCAATTGATGGAAAATGTTATTTGGTGGCATGTTGGAATTTGGAGGGAAATGTTATTATTTGAAAATCGGAAATTTCCTTCTGCTGCGGTGTAAAGGAATCATTTGAATTGATGTAAGAGACCGACGGGAAGGAGCATTTTGGGCTGACACACGTGGCGCAGACGCAGAGAAGTGAGATGGGTAGCACTGGGTAGGTAGTAGATTTAACAATTGCACGCAGGAGTACGCAGGAGTACGCAGGAAGATGATAGAAAGGGTACGTACCTACGACCTTTAGAGTCATGAGATTTTCTTTTTCCTTCTATGGGTAATTCTTCCTACCGTGCGGAATATGGAGAACGTGAACTGTGAATCGGATCCTTTCCTAAAATTCATTAGGAGTGAAGAAGGAAAAAAGAATTACTCCAATGGATCATCTTCACGTGTTCTTTTACGGTCCTTTTATCGATTCTATGCAATGTGTTGTTGTGTTGCTGTGTTGTTGTGTTGTCGTCTTGTCGCCGTTGAGCCGAGTACGCTGAGTCGTGATCGATCAATCACGTCAATATGCACCGTGAAAATGCTTTTCATTTTCTTTCTTCACTCTACGTACTCTCGGTACTCTCGTCAGTGTCCTTTATCATTATTAGTCAGGTACCATTTTAACTTCCAAGGCTGAACTTCTATTGGAAGTTTTTAACCATGAATTATTAACATGAATTAACCAAGAATTATTATTATTAACCGCCAATTCAGGTTAATTCAGGTACCAGTTTTTACAGAGAGATCCACTTAAATTTCGCTTGTTTTCCGAAGCGCCTATAAAACGAAATTTGTCTCACAAGAATCCTGACTAGCCACAAATGAGATCCTCGCCGTATCCTGGTCTTTCACGTTCAAATTTAAGATTACGGTTGATTGTGGGGATTAGCTTTAGCTTTTGGAACGGGATGAACCGGTCAGTATTGCAGTGCAGTCAGGATGAAATGTCTTGACTGTGCATCTGGACTCTGAACTGTTGAGTCTTGAGTCTTGACTCTTGACTCTTGACTCTCTCTACTAGACCCCCGTACCTACATGTGAATGAAGTGTAACGGAAGGGAAGGGAAGCTTAGTACGGCTTGATGTTTGGAAAAAGTGCAAAGACTGAAGTTTGAGACGACAAGAAGATAAGTCAACAGAAGAAAGAGATGCAGCATGCCAGGCGATGACCATTACAATTACAAATCACGATTCACAAATGTTCAAAGTCAAAAAGGAAAAGAAATGAAATATGACGATTGGCCATGGAGATGGGAAGATACGGTGTAGCGGTGCTCCCGTATACATCCACGGTACAAACTCAACAGACCAACTCAAAATCCGGAGATTGATAATGTTCAATCAAGTTCAACAGACTTCATCTTATTTCATTTGTATATTATTTCTTCCTTGCTCATGTTAGATTCCCCCCCCGTTGCCCCATTGACTTGAGATTAACCACAGGAGAAAAGAGTCACTTGATCTGATCGCTTAGATTAAATTTTATATTATTCAATTCAACTTTATATCTTCCACTGCGGTCGGTGTAATACCATTGGACTCTAGGTTGATGTGTTCTAGGATTCTCGGTGGTCCAGTTGTACCATTTCCCACTCATTTGTCGAGCAGATCAAGCCGATGATATATCAACCAAGTCAAGCAAGTGAAGCAAGCATCCACTAAATTATTACCCGGGCCAAGCTTCTCTACTTCCCCTAGTCAACCTGCGCAATCCACCGATTCCAACGTGGGAAGAAGGAAAAAGGAAAAAGGGAAAAGGAAAAAGGAAAAACAAAAACGTTGTCAATTTACCCCCAATCCAATCACGGGCCACCTTTCATAGAAAAAGACAAAGATCCACTTCTACTCGACCGCTCGCGCTCGCTCAGATATCTTCTTCATCTTGCGCCCCGATACTTCTTCCTTCTTCTCTCTCTTCTAACAACACACACCTCCATTATCCCAATACCTGCAGCTTGCTTCAGATATCTCAATCAGACTTCGTTGGCAAAGTCTACAATCATTCAAAGTATATTTCCAGAAAACATACTCCAGACATCATTCAGATTCACTCACCATCATTCGATACCACCCCATTCACCAAACACAATAAATATCCTTTCTACCCAAAGGTTGTTCAAGGTTTGAGTCTATTGACCCAAAACACTCCACTTTCGAAACAATATCAAACATTATCTGCGCTTGGATCAATATCTTTCTGATATACATCTTCCTCCTCGAAGCAACTACCCACCAACGACTACTCAAATCTATTTAACGTTGCTTTCGATCCTTCAAAAACTATAACACTCATTCCTCTCACACAATTACTTTCTTGTCAATAAATTCAAAAATCTCTACTCGAGAACTTTTTCCAAACAACCACATACACAATGCAGTTCCACCGTCTCACAGCACTGTTGCTTTCCCTGTTTGTCGCATGCGTATGCGCACAATCAGTTACCTCCACCACAACCTTCACATCTACATCCACTCACACTCGCACCATTACCGTATCTGAAGTGGTCGCATCTGTTACCTCGACCTACTCCACCTACAACACCTCTGCAATTGCACCTACCGGATCCGTTGGAACCATCATCGCATCCACAACCTCAAAAGTTGGCGCATCAGCAACCGCTCCTGCTGTACCAACCTTCGTCGGTGCAGCTTCAAATGTTCGAGCAAGCTATGGTGTCATGGGATTGTTTATCATGGCTGTTGCAGCGTTGCTGTAAACAAACAAATGATGAGACAAAGAATGCGAGTCCATCTAGACGGCGCCGATCATGTATTTGATTGGTCGACATTCCTGCCCTATGGCATCTAGATCTTTTCTTGGAATGCGTTTCCAAAAAATACCCTCTCTTCATCTCCTCAAGATAAGAAAAATTTCACTCATACGAAATCTTCGATGCGACATCTCATCACTTCTTTTTACGAAATTACCCCCTTTTACGGCTTGACGATACCTTTTTGTTCTTTTTGGATTTTACTTCTCACGCCTGAAAATTCTTCTTGTTCGCTTTTTTGATCTTAGTTTCTCTTTTCGACGGAGCACGAATACCCCCGATTAACGATTAAAATATACCCTCACACATATCTTTGATTCGTTACCTGGAGTTTTTTTCGATTCATCTTCTTTCTTGGCTACTGTCTGCTCATACCTCGAGATTCCGATACGTTGATGCGTATACTGCGATGTCACTTGTGATGATCTAAACATATGCTCTTTATTGTGAATACTTGTCATATTACAATGACTATTCACAATAGCGAGTACGTGATGGAATGGGTATGAGTAGAGATAATCAAGATGTGATTACTTTGAATCCTTTTTATATTTGATTTATGGATGGATGGGTGGCTTGATTTGCATTGGCGGTCATTGGCACGGAACAATATTTACACCCCCTTTTTTGTTGTATACTCGCCGCTGATCGGCTTGAGGATATTGGGAGAGGATGGGATTGCATAGAAAATTCTTTTCTAGATGAGACGCTTTTATCCCTTTTTTGTGCATAGTTTTGGTGGTGTGGTTGGTGATTTTTGGGGTGGTGCTAGATGCATGGAAAGGTGAAGCATGGAAGGGGATGGAAAGATGAATAGAGAAAATGAGAAATCAAATATGAAATACGTTGTTATTAATTATCTGTCTGTTATTTTTGAAGAAGTTCGTGATTCATTTGTACTTGTCGATGTGGTTGGAAGAATTGCTATATAATATATATACCTAGGTAGGTACTCCTCGACAGTTTCGAGTGAAACCCCTTCTCTTTCTATCTTTCTTTCTTTCTTCGCCTTGTATATATACAAATATCTGCAAGTCCCATTCCACGCATTCTAATAACCTACCTAGTATCTACTTAGGTACCCATATGATACACCAACTTGGAGGAACGAATATCTTCACGCCTTAGTTGCCCTGATTGTCGTCATTATTATTGTCGTCATTATACTCCAACGAAAATTATATATACATTTTTACATTCTAATCACCATCGCATCTCTGAACCCCCCGCGTAGAAACCCCAACCCGATTAAATCAAATCAAACCAAAGCAGTAAAACAAATAATCTTACGAAAATTTCAATACAAACAAGTACAACCATAGAAAACAAAAGCTAGGTAGGTATATTTTTCTTCTTCGTATTGGCAGTAGACGGACGTCTGGATACTTAGATCAGTGATCGGATATCGACAGGAGAGATATCCTTTACGAGTACCTAGGTACTCAAGAAAAAAATCAAGCCATCGAAGAATCGAAGAATCGAGGAAATAACCCCGTCTTTTGAGAAGTGATTATCAAGATGCACAATCGAGGTGCGAAATCGAGATTGGGTGAATACCAAGACAGGGAGATGGAGAGAGGTGAATACATTGACTCGCGGGTACCTAGATAGTTCCCGTTCTTCTCTGGACAGTTTTCAGTTGTTTCCTACAGCACTGATTCTATCAACTTCTCTCCCTGTCCCTGTGAGTTTCTTCATTACACAGAGCTATAATTACCATTTGATCACAGATCTAGCTAGTTTTGTCTCTCTCGCTGCGTGGATTGATACTCTAGGTAGATACTCATATTCAACATGTGATTTTCTGCTTCAGATCGAGAGGATGAGAAGGGAAAGTTGTTGTTATTGTTGTTGTTATCTCTTCTTTCGTCGAGTTTTGATACTTGTTGTTGCTTCGACGAGGGATTTTGTCTTTCTTGATGTTGACGATGATGAGGAGTAATGCTATCGTTTATACGTATATACATTCTCTGCTTAAGATTCACATTCACTAACTATTGCCAATCTCTCAAAATAGCAATTCTGCGGTACATAAGAACAGGCTATTCTACATTCAAATACTGCGATAGTATCATGAGACTATTCCAAAACACACGAACAATAAGGACTTCTTCTCCATCGGTTGTGAAAGATAGCATACCAGAAGATGGTAATTCGTTTTTGGGCGTGAGATTTAGAGGTATTGTTTCTTCGTCAGTATGGGGGATAAGATCAGGGGTTGGGGTTCTCTGAATTTTTCGCTGCCGCGGAGAAATGAATGATATGGTTATTATCGCTAAATTTCACGTCGCTGTCAATGTCTCTTTCCCTTCATTCTATATCAAATTCCCTCAGCTCTTAGCGACAATCAATCTAAATGATTATCCAAACCTTCGTTGTATGGGCTTCTATGACTAAGAAATTCCTCTGTTTGACATAGGATGATGAACGAAACTAAATCAAACAAGATTCTTAAGTCCGCGATACATGTTAGTCTCAAGGTTTGCAGCTTCAGGGAAAAGCTAATCGATCTGTTAAATAAGTAAGAAGTCAAGAAACAAAGAGAAGAGAAGCCTGAAAGAAAGTTCGAGCGGGGTAAATGATATTTTGGGATTATCTGCATATACTACCGGGAAGGGAGGGGGGGGGGGGTTGGATGATGAGGAGGGGTAACTGGAGAGGGCTGGTGAGTTATGTGTATATATTGAATAGAAAACAGCACATTGGGGTTGATCTAATAATGAATAAGAGATAGTGCATACTACTAGCTATCCAGATCTGAGATCAAGGACTAATTAAAGACAGCCTACTTGCTTTAGAATTCAACATAGATCGAAATTATCAAGTACCTCAATGGCAGGTTCGCGGCCAGACGGACAATTCGATTAGAGAAGAAGTTTCCCGCTGATTTGATCAATTTTTGTTCTGTATCACAATTTCACAAGTCCTATACCTGCAAGAAATCTCACAACGTTACCGCGTATGACTACTCTCTATTGTCTAAAGTCAAACTCATAATTCCAAGGTTCGCATTGTCTCAGTCATATCAATACTGCAGACGACCACCTGTGATAAACCATCCAAAAGTTTGGGCTGAGCTAGCTGAGAATACCATCTCATTTTCTCCCGGTACCATTGGATCTTAGTGGAGTTGGTCTCAGCATGGGAAGACACATAAGTACTTTGAGTGTTCGGCATGGTAGGATTGGAGGATAGAGAATATTCAGCATGGGTTTTTACACCACCAATTTCCCTTTTCCATAATGATAAGTAAGAGATAGGATTTGAATGATTCGAAAAGTAGGAAGATGGAATTGGGTGAATTGGTGAATTGGCACGGGACAAATACCCACCCAAGTATAACTCTCAGGCAGTGTGATCATAACCAAATTAATCAATAACGAGTTATATAAAGATCCGTTTTCCACTTTGAAGCAATGTAAAGTCCCCAAAATTTTCCGAGAAATAAATATGGGAAATTGGAGTTCGCTTGTGTCCGGTCTTGTTTCCGATATCTCAGAAGATGTGGTAGTACTTCATTATAGCCGTGGTTGACATCCATACCTCGGGTAATTGAATACTAGTGAAACTTCACTGTCGATAAATCTTCAACGTTGTTGACCCCAAGCCGTTCCCTTTTAACTGTCCTTTGCATTATCACCAATCGTATCATCACTTCAGATAGCGATATAAACAAGTGTTACGCAGAATATTCGAATATATTCCCCTTGAAATCTACACCGCTTGGCGTTAGTTTTTGGTGTAATACGAAGAAGTTGTCCCGATCTCAACAATCTCCAACTCTGTGATTCGATGTGGTCTTTGGGTGTCTAGTAAAGGAATTTTATTAGCATGGAGATACAAGAAAGGAATGAGTGCGAGCTTATATAACCTCTCATCTATCGTCCTCCACAGTGTGTTTTGTGTTTGCGAAGAAGAGAGAACCAGAGCGAAAGAGAGGTTCGTGGATAAAAAGTGAATCCCCTGCTCTTTTTCTCTTCGAGCACACCTTTGAGAGTCTGTAATAAATACACCTTATGTATAAATGCTCTAGAATCCCCCGCATTTCATCTTCATATATCTTTAAAGAAGATCTTTCGTGCTACAGCTAGCATATTCGTTGAGCATCTCCAGATAGTTTCGCAAAATTCCTAAACGTTGCGTAGGGTGGTTTGAGGATGTATATTCCAAGGATTAAGAGGTTGGAAAGCAATATGATATAATGAGACAGTTGATTTATTGTAAGCCGGTAATAGCTTTCTAGTATAACTCGCCTACCTATTCGCCATGGAAAATTATCAATCATCTGTCCATGGCAAAGAACATAAGTAAATGAGGCGTAGTGACCTCTAGAATTCAATTAATCGAAAACCTCAGTCATCATGACGAGAACAGTATCTATAGATAAATTCTGAATAGACAGGAATAACATTCTTAGCATAGCTCGCATGACACACTAGATAGAAGCGGCCGCAAGATTTCAAATCTTCGAGGGAAAAAACTTTCCATCAGATATGAGAGGGGTAAATTATCACCCAATATCAGGCGCGTCATATCAAGTACCGAATAAATATTACAAGAAGCAAAACCCGTGAAGAATGAAGCCATTTTCATTATCGTGATCCATTACGCAGCGTTGCAAATGATTCTGCGGGGGCCAAATTTTATCGTACCAGGATAGTGATTGGATGTAATGGTACGATGTAATGAGGCTCTAGTCCAAAAATGTCAGCACCCGCAGGTTAAATTATTGAATTATTACCGCATTTGAATATCCTTGTTTTCTGACTAGCCAACCCTCTGTATTGATAGTTATCATTTCAGGTTGTTACTTCAAAATCGGTGATTCTCGCTTGCTATTTTAGTACTGGAATCATGCCAACGACTAAAATTTCGTGAGCTCTGACGAAGTTCGAGTCTGATGTCTTGTCATGGTATCGGAAATTTGGACTTTGGTACGAAATTTAAGCCCACTGATAACGGCTATCTAGTTGTCAGTACTATCCAAAGTCTAATTTATATTTGTGGCGCTAATCTGCATGTCAGATTTTAGAGCAGGGCCAATTTGTTATGTAGATTGAAGATCGTCCCATCACGTTGCATTCAGTGCTCTCGCCGCACACCTGCATATCAGAAGGTGGGTAAGTGTTTGTTATCTAACATCGATGTTCGAAGATACACAAGGAATGTGCTTCTCTCGTTTTCTTTCAAAGGTTAGAGAAATTGGAAATATTGGAGATTTTCATTGTTTCGTAGTTTTCACTATTTGGAATGATGCAATTATTCATTCTTTTCATCTTCCTCATCAACAGCGAGGCAATCACCATACCTGAACCTCCACTTCCCACACCTATGTCAAGCGTGCAAATTCAATTGAGATTCCGTCAAACAACGCCGTTTCCTTCACTGTGTGGGTATTCAAATGGTGATGTTGATATTCCTCGGACAGCCGAACCCGGATATGATTGTCGCGAAGATACTATTGATAATTTATGGGGATTTTGCCCAAACACTATAGCTGACGCTACCAATTGTGATTTTGTTGGCTACTGTGTCGACGATGATACTTGCTCTACCGGTTGTGGAAGATCTAGTCTGACACAAATTCATTGGTATGTACATTATTTGACTGTTGGACAAATAGCCTGTCACTTGAAGACTAATTTTACTGTAGTGCAAACGCAATGCCTTATTGTTCAACAGCTTTATTGGTTTCCGGAGAACAAACATATACATATCTCACATGTGCGACATCGCCAACTACCAACTTTTACCTGGCCAATCCAACAAGCAATTCTGTGTCTACAGTTTCGTCAGCTTCTGGATCACAAGTACCAACAACGCAATATTATTCTACAATTGTTGTCGCAACTTCCTCATCAGCTCCTAATACTCAGTCAACCAGTGCGAAAGCTTCACCAAACAATGTTGGAGCCATAGTTGGAGGAGTTCTTGGAGGCCTTGCTCTTATTTTCCTTATTGTTATTGCTCTGATCTTCTTGAAAAAATATAAACCATCGACTTTACTGAAAGACGAGAAAGATATCAATGGGGAATTAATAGCTTTTACAGGACCTGTTGCCGACAATAGCAGCATACACGAACTTTATGATTATAGAAAAGAGGCTAGGGAGCTTGATTCTACCACCTCGGTAAATAAAGGAAATTCTGATTTGAAGTCCGGAGTTCTGACTGGGAATGAGACAACAAGAAGAAATACTACTGCAGTTGAATTGGATATAGCGCCTTGATACATTCAAATGAATCACACATATATCATCGGTCTGAAACTATTCTTCAAGTGACAATCATCTAGCAATATCATCTGTGATTTAGCCATTTTTGAAGCAAGGGAGGTGAATCGCTCGCAGAATCGTCATCGAACGGATATAGATCGAGGCATGCTGATGCCGTTATTGTCCCCTAGCTATAGAGCTCGAAGGAGCGGAACAAAGCGCTGGTGGAATACCTGCTTGAAGCAATTTGTGATTCTTCAGTAAGTCATACCATCCAAAGTTCTATTTGCTGGTAGGACTATTTGCGGTCAATAAAACCACATTGAATCCATCCATCCATCGAATTGTCGATAATGTCGACGTTGAACTTTTCACAATCCTCGGGTTACTCAGACATGGACGGACCTATCGAAATGCACCAGTAATTTGATTGGACAATACGCCAATACACACGTGATCAAAAATTCGTTTGTTGCATGTCGCGATTCTGGGAGAAGTTTTGCGAAGGATTCCCAAAACCGCCAAAGATTTCCTCCCAAATTCCCGGGATTTCCAAGACGGTCAGCAACAAGAAACAACCTTCTCTCCCTGCATCAATACTTCGTACAGTTTGATCCGTATTGGATTGCGATTGTCATATCTAATTACAATTGACACAATGTTCATACTTTACGAAGCGATTTAATCTTGACGAAAATAATCTCTACTACTTGATTGTCAAAGTCAATTCTCAGATTTTATCGTTCGCTTCAGGAAAATAGGAAGTGTTGATTTACATAAATTTCAGACCAGCTTCTTCTTCGTATGCTCTTTTTCTTCTCTCGAAAGCAGAAGTCACTGATACCTTACGTCTTATTCAAACCTACCAACAATGGAGGCCAACTTTACCTATCTCTGTACTCGAGTAGAAGCAAGCGTTTGACGTAATGGCTGAGGGTTTGTACAGTTTTCCCCTCACAATGGAAGTTGCGATGCGCAATGTATTAGGATATTTGTCGTGGATGCGTCCATGAACACGTAGGGAATCCGGAGTACGCCTACCAGATTCAGATTTGCTACTTCCTAGTTTGGATCCCTTCAGGAAATCATGTGTAGGAAGAAAGCTTCTTCAACGCAGAAAGTCCTTCAAGTTAAAATGCGAGACACACTCACATTTATGATCTTCTCTTCAACTCCCATCGCTCAGTCCTCGAACCATGGCTTCAAGCCTCACAGTATCTCTCGTGGCAGCTTTTCAAGCAAGCATGGCTGTACTCCTAGTGATATTCTACGGTGCTCTATCGGTATATATGAAGCTTCTCGATAGCAAATCTGCCAAAATGATGTCCAAAATCTCAGTCAAATTCTTTCTCCCCGCATTAGAATTTGTCAAGATCGGTAGAGAATTACATGCTGGAGGAGGTCATCGTTACAACGTCATTTTGGTGTGGGCATGCTTAACACACACGATTTCATTCTTGATCGGTGCAGGTGCTCATTTCATCTTCGGGATGCCAGATTGGATTACTGCAACTATTATGTTCAACAATACGACAAGTTACCCTTTAATGTTGATTCAAGCTTTAGATCAAACTGGTCTTTTAAATCCGTTGCTTTTAGAGGATGGAGGAACAGGATACAATCCAGTCGAACAGGCAAAGTCATATTTTCTTGTTTATTCGGTTCTCTCAAGCTGTCTGACATTTGCCGTTGGTCCTCGTATGATGGATACAGAGTTTGCAATTGATCCGCCCGATGAAGAGGATCTTTTGTCTGCACTCGCACAGGTACAACAGGACAGGGAGGGTGAGAGTGAAGATGATAATGAAAGATTACACTTTCCTACCGAACACACCAATCTTCTTTCACCTCAGCATCGACCAGCGATGTCTAGCAGATCTACCTCCTTTTTCCCATCGAGACGCACTTCGGCTACTATGACACCTCCTACACGAGATACAAATCGAGCAATCGTATACGAAAGACGTCCTTCCTCTATTATAAGCAGACAAAGATGGTTTGAACTTGGTGATCGAGTTCGATGGTGGGTACTTTTCTTTTATGACTTCTTGAATGCACCTCTTCTTGGTGCCATAGCCGGTGCAATCGTCGGACTGTCACCAGTTCTGCACCGAGCATTCTTTAACGAAACAGTCGAGGGAGGAATTTTCACAGCATGGCTCACTGCATCTCTTGAAAACATTGGAATTCTTTTTGTCTCCCTACCAGTCGTAGGTGCAGGAGTATCACTCTACTCAGCCGTTACCAAAACTAGTGAAAAGGGAAAAGGCAAGGAACCTACTGGTACCCCCTGGTTCACAACTTTCTATGTTCTTGCAGTACGATTCGCAATTTGGCCTTTTATTTCTACAGGAATCATTTACTACTTGGCGAAAAATACAAATTGGGTGGGTGAAGATCCAATGCTTTGGTTCTCGATGATGTTTATGCCTTTGGGTCCACCGGCTGTGAAACTTATCACTATGGTAGAGGTCAGTGATGCTAAGGAGGAAGATCAACATAAGGTTGCTAAATTACTCGCGGTAAGTTTGGTTGGTTCCCCTGTAAAGAATAGTAACTAATTTCCAAACAGATTTCCTACGCTATATCTCCAGTCATGTGTTTTGCGGTTGTAGGAAGTTTGAGTGCATGCGAAGCGGCAAAAAGTTAATGATTCTATCCCCTGGTCTTTTCACATGCCCATTAATGGTAAAAGCGGGAGATCTTTGAAGTTTTTGAGATCATTGTCAATCTGTGCGAAATATGAAGTTGAGATGGTCTTGAGGAGAAACACCGGCATACAAAATATGGTGCTTTGCATCGTTCGTCAAGCTATTTGCATTTTATCATTAGATCTTGGTTTTCATCATACTCTAGCTTAGATTTTGGTTCGTCGAGAAAATTAGAACTTTTGGCGCCTTGTTTTGACTTATGTGAATGCTTTCGTATAACTTGGGAAGGTTTAGGGTGCCGTATCTCGAGAAATAATATCCGACTACGTGACAAAATGATACGGAGTGTTTGAGTGTAGTATTCTTAAGATGGCAATGAGTGCGGCTTCGAATGATATATCGATCGAGATAATAGATAAAATCGGAACCGTACATCGTTGCAATGAACTTGTACCACATTTGACCCCTCGAGGCGGGAAACAAGAAAGAATGCAAGAAAGTTGCAAAAGAATAGAAAAAGGATGAAACATTCCCTCCATCAAACTCTATAGCACATGAAAAAACATTTCCACCACTTCCTCTACCCCGCGTACAGCCGATTCGAACTCGACTCCTCTCCCCCAATGCGCACACCTGTCCCCCTTCCCGATCCCTGTACCCGCAATCTTCCTACTCCTCTTTTCCGCAATTCTTCTCTCATCTTGACCTGGACTTCCCTGTCGCATCTGGAGTAGCTGACTGTGCTATCGGTATCGTTGTGCGCATAATGTACTTTTGGGAGAGAGGAGGGTAGAAGGTGTGGAATTAGAGTACGAGGGGGTGTGCCTGAAGGATCTCTTCGTGGAGTACTGGGCCGTAGCTATGTTGGCATTGAAAGAGCGGGATCTACCTAATGCGATATGACCTCTTCTTAGATGGAGCTTTCCATTCTTTTGCCATGATTGGGTCTTGTCTCTGTGTGTTCCATCGATCACTTTTTCATTATTGGTTAACCAATGATTTCGTGGTGTGTATTGGTTTCTCTTCTGGGGAGGGGGGGCGATCGTAGAAGGACGTCTTCACGTCAAATTGAGATCCTAAGTTCTTGACATCACTAGATATTCTTATTCTTTTATTGTCCCAAGTAGTTGGATTTCCGATGTGTTTCGTAGAATTTACATTATACTTTCACATCACACCAACTAACTAAAGAATGAAAAGCATGCAGACTCAGTCTCAACATAAAAGCCCCGATCTTCTTGTGATCACTACCCACTTGGCAAATGATTACTCGATGTATACCATAGTGTTCTATTGATCCCCGGTTGAAAGAAGGGCTATGATTATTTAGTTTCCAGTCCAACAATGAGTAAGTAGTTCTTGATTCTGGGGTCAAAAATATACGTAGATGCAGTGTATACATCCCAGGTATAGACCAAGAGGATGCTTTTGATTAATCGGTAAATCTCAATATTCCCTGCATCTTAATTCTGAAAGTTCAACGTTCAACGAATAAAAGAAGGTCTAAAATCAAGACCCAAGACTTTAAGCATTGACTGCCTAGTAGTAATGCGGGGTAAGATATAGCATCTCGGGAATTTAGTTGAACATTAAGTTTGGGGAATTGTGTCTAGGATTTTGTTGTCAATGCAGCTTTGTAATTCACTCCCTCGAGCTTGCAAGGTGTGGTTCATCGTGATCATCAATTCTAACCGGGTAGGTTTGAGATGAGGAATAGTTTGCTTTTGAGAAGTTCGATTGTAAATTACGTGAATTTCACGTAGCTACCTTGAGAACTGATGAGTTTTTAGAACTGGGTTGATATTTGCACTTCGACGATACCAAAATGCGAAATAAGAGAGAATGGATTTGTGTTGAAGACTTTTGGTTATCAACGACTGAGTATACAAATCCTTATCACTTGGGCCCCGAGAGTATTTTCTCATAGGCCATGTTGCCAAGTTGACATTGATGACTTTGTACCAGAATCAAGTCAATCGACGCTGAAGTAATGGGAGGGAATATTATATGAATATAAGCATGACTCAAACTCTTTTGCACATGAGATAGAACCAACCAAGATGCCTTAGAAGTAGTATTCAGTGAGACCCTTGAAACGCAAGGTCTAAGTTCTTTGTAGGTCAAACCCAATAGACCAATGAACCTCATACGATGATGCTAATAACCATATGCTAGACTCTTTTTATAATACATTCAACTCCGTTTGCTTGGATTCGGATACATGCCCACGTACTGATAGTCCGAAGGTTGATACCAGAGATACCTTTCCAGGTCCGCAAGAACTTTCTTTTACGTGGAGTACTTGGCAAGAAAGTATAACCGATCTCTTTAGGTTCAATCTCGGAAACAAAAAGACATGCAGATAAAGAACATTGAAACTTGATTGGTGTCGGATC